GTCAGTACATGTTTTCAGTGCCCAGTTTCACTGCCTTCAAACCGCCTAGTGCTGTAATGGCGCTGCTGGTTGTTTATGCTGAGACTGGGCCTGGCCGCCACCTGACAATGACGTATGGCACTGGTCCCGCATGGGTCCGCGACGGAGGGAAGCAGACGTACCTTGAAGCCGTGGATAAAGCATAGCAATAAAGTCTTCCTCATCTTCCACGGCTGTGCTCCTGCATGGTGGGTCCAGAGTCAGCGGAAAGGCAGCCGACAATACGGCGAGCGGAGCGGGAATGGGCCATTACGTCTAGGGCGCAGGTGGTGGCCACCCCCACTCGCTTACTTACCACCTCGCATGGGTCGCCTGGGTTGGCCGGAGCAGTCTATTGCCGCGGGCTGAGAGTAGGACCGCAACGCATGAGCCAAGACGTCACAAATATACAAAATATGGCCTATAGTGTACGGAAAAGTATAGAAACTAAAGCATACAAGAGTGTCATCTGTCAACTGACGAGTCATGAGCTGGCGTGCTTCTGTTTGATTCATCGTTGCGTATAGTACTATGTCACTATGGCACGAGACCAGCTGCCTCTGCCTCTGCCTGGGTCTGTGGCGCTGCTCTACAGCCCATTCTGCTCTGCATCGTCGTACACATGTCCATTGCTTCCAATCTGCTGAAATTCCCAGCTAGCTGTAGTACTAATCGATCTTGCAATCCATCGGTACGGGTATATGGTACAAATCAAACATGCTAATGCCCCAAACGCCGTGTCGTGAGCCGTATATACAACGCTAAGAAATAAGAGAACAAAAAAAAGAGTGATATGCAACTATGCACAGATGATAAGGAGGAAGGCTGTCGCTAGGAGAGCTGCTGCGGCACCACCATATATATCTTGGTGACTTGATGAGCCTGTTGCGACAACATCAAATGGTGATCCGCCGCCTGAAAAGGCATTGGACAACTGCGTGCCTGGCGCGAGCGATGGGTCGGGAGCGTTTGTGTCTTCGGGCGGGACGGCTACCGTTGTAGTTGGGGTCGATCCCGTTGCATTTGGGTCCAGAACCAGGCCGTTTGTTGAAGAAATCGAGCTAGTGGTTTGTTCGCTTTGCGTGTCGGTCGATGAGCTTGACGGTGTCGGTCTTGCCTCAACTGTCGAGCTGACTGAGCTTGTCTCTAATGTTGATGACGACGACGATGATGATGATGCCCTTGTGCTTGTGGATGACCTAGACGACTGTGTGCTCGTCGTTGGAGAGTCTGACTTGATGGTCGTTACGGTAACGCCAGGACACAGACTCGCGATACCCAGTCCATTCTGGAAGACACCAATGAGACTCAGCTCGCCCACGTCAACGTCGGCGCATCTCTTTTTCACACTGTCTCCGATCTGGTTGAGACCCCGTACGCAGGAAGCGCTACATGTTGCGCCAGGCTGAAAGTCACCCGGTACGCATCCAGAAATGGCCGAATAGTAGACAGTGTTGCAAGCCGAGGGGAGGTTGTCGATCCGTGGAATAAAGGCTGAGAGTGAGACGGTCTGAGCAAGGGCGGTAGATGCGCAGAGCAATGCCAGTGCGGTTGCACGTAATGATATCGATATCATTGTGAGGTTTGTCGTGGTAGGTGAAGGGTCGGTGTGTAGATTGGCAGGTCTGGTGTGAGGAAGCAAACGTATACGAGCGGCGATATCTGGGCGCACGTTCAGGCGTCGTTTACCGAACGCAAAATGCCGATGGAAGAACGTCTTCCGGAGGGGATCTGAGACGACTGCCGTTTGAATATGGGCTATGACGTTCTTGAGACGGTGGCGCCTGTTCCTAGTCTAGTAGATAGTTTTGAAATATGCTACCAGTCCACTAGAGCCTGAGCGTCGGCGCAATGATCTGGCAACTGCGTCTTGCTGTAGACAAACTCTATTCGATTTTCTTGTTGGCCAATACGTCAGGGAGATAATGATGCCAGAGATTCGAGTTCTCGAACAAAGTTGGACTTGACACGGAGCAGACGATGGCCACGCTCGTTCTTGCGAGGAAATGGCAGTAAAGAATGTAGAAAGAAGCAAACGCGAATGCACAAATGAATGAGCAAACTCAAAGTTTGACCCCAGGCCTGCAAAGAGCGACTTTGTTCCCCAAACGGACTGATCAACATTGACGACGCACAGCGTCAATCAGGAATAGAAAGGAACGCGGGAAGGAAAAGAAGAGGAGGAAGAAGGAAAGAAAGAAGCAGCCAGTGGCGCGGGACGAGAACAAGGAAGGAAACCGAGGAGAGCCGCGATCTTCGTGATGTTCAGTCGCTCAATAACTCAGCTCAGGTCGCAGCTGACCTGAGCCCGGACCGGCCAACAACTTAAGGCAGATCTACAATAAGCCCGTCGAGATAGGCCTCGTCGCCCCAACCCCAGCTCCATCTACGCGTCGTGCATAGCAATTGGCGGAGCAGGCCCCCTGGAGGATTGTCGTGTACCTGAGTTTGGTGTTGCAAGTGGCCAAAACCCAGTCTTCTGAAACAACGGAGTTAGCGCACGTCGTTAATAGCCAGGGCAGCGCGGCCCCTAATAGGCCGACGCAGGCACTGCAGGCGTTACAAGTCGCGAGCGCGCTTCAGGTGCAGGTACCCGCAAGCACGAAAAGAACCGTTGGTGGGAAGCTTGTGTCGAGGCCAGCCTGGATTAAAATGCTCGGCGGCTGCTGAAGTGGCGAGCGGTCCGCACTCATCCGTCCATTGTGCCGCTTTGGGCGCTTGCAGTCAGTCGGGGCAAGGTGCGCGAGTGAGCGAGAGAGAGACGGAGAAAGATAAGCCATACTTGGCCTCAACGGACAGAGAGACGGAATTAGACACGGCTACCATTACTAGTCGACTATGCACTCGTGTATCAACAAGGAAACAGAGCCCAGCCCAGCGACATTCAGCTTAGCAGCCACTAACTACTAACCCAGAGCTTAGCTCTGCCTCACACCTGCCACCACCGGTGAGCGGCCTCGATCATCCCAGGACGCCAACCGCCAAACGAACAACGACAGAGGGACAAGATTCGACCAAAAATGTTTCGACGTTTCCATATAGCCTCGACTATAGTTCTCGAGTGCATTGCGCGATCCTGAATCTCGCAACACTTCCCAGCTTGATCCCGGTGGTACGACCTTTAGTCCATGACGATGACGCTCCGGAAGCGCACCTTGCCACTTTCCATATGCTTGACCGCGTCCTCCGCCTTATCAAATGGAAACTTCTCAATCATGCACTTGACCCCTTGACGCTCCGCAAAGTCAATCGCTTCCTCGCTGTCCAGTGCGTGGCCCGATGGCCAGCCGTGGACAGAGCGGCCCCCCAGAACAAGGCTCACAGTGTTGATCGGCACGTCGCCCACGGGCGCAAGAACAAGCATCTTGCCCAGCGGCCCGAGTCCGTCGACCAGAGGGCCTATGATTTGTGGATTTGGTGCTGTGACGACAATGAGGGATGCGCCGCCCATCTTCTCGAGTCCCTCTGCTGCCGACTCTTTGGACGTGTCGATGTAGTCCGTCGCTCCCAGTTGGAACGCAAAGTCCTTCTTGTCACTCGACGACGATAGCGCTACCGTCCTGTATCCCATCTTGCGAGAATACTGTAGAGCGAGGTGTCCCAGACCCCCCAAGCCCTGAATAACCACTGTATCGCCCTGCTGGATATTCATCTTGCGTATCCCATTGAACACCGTAACACCAGCGCATAGCAGCGGAGCATACTCAGCCGCATCCGCATCAGCAGGAATACGTACCGCGGCTTCGCTGCGAAGAGTACAATACTCGGCATCTAACAACACCCTCATGTGTCAGTTCCAAAACTCTTTACTCAAATAAATATGCAGAATGTACTGTCACATCAACGTAAGGGAAAACTCACATCCTCCATCCTTACTAACCCCATTTATATCCTTCTTATCGCATATCTGGAACAACCCCCGATTACACGCCTTGCACACGCCGTCATGCCCCCCATGCCATCCTCCTCCAACCCGATCCCCTACCTTCCACTTCTGCTCTCCTTCGCCAACTGCAACCACGGTGCCAATCACTTCGTGTCCCGGGACACGTGGGAAAATGTGATCGCCGAGGTGCCCTTGTTGAAGAAATACATCAGAGTGACATATACCGCAAGCCTGTACTTTGATGAGGACTTCACCCGCATTCGGCGAGGAAACAGGGACGTCTTTGATAGTCCAGGGTGCACCGACTTTGCCGATGACGACAGCGCGGCACGAGGTGGGGATGTCTGATGGCATTGCGTATGAACCTCGTCTTCCTACTATTTGAAATCGTAAAAGGGAATTCGAGATGTACAATTGAACGACAAGTGAGAATAGTATCCAAATCAGTGTCAAAAAGCAAAAAAAGGAGAAAAATATGTGACAGCCGTTGTCCCGTCTTTATCTATAACCTCCAGTCATGTAATCATGATTACATTGTACTAACCCCCGCTAAACCACGATACAGTGGAACTCCGCAATCAAGCAACATAGAGCGCGCTATCAAGCTACCATTCGAGCATTCCTGTCTCGCATGCAAGCAACCCACCCCCTCTCTCTATCAATGCAGGGCGTTAAACTCTCTCTCACACACACACACGTGTGACCCCACGATCGCCCGACAATACGCATTACATACTTCGGTTGCATTATGCAAAATCAGCCTTAGGCAACATAGAGCAAGTTCACATAACTGGGTGAAGATTGTCTTCCCCCGCGCCCCAAGTATGCAAAGTCAGCAGGTTGGTATAACAGGTAGTTTGTGTAGTCAGCGGCGTGCAGCAGGCGTAGTGCGCAATCATGCATGCATACATGCATACAACTTCCCGCTATGACATAACGAGCGCGGAGTTTGCGGACTTAGGATTGGTTAGTGAGTGTTGGGTAAGAAGCTTGTGTTTTTTTGAAAGAAGGAATGGTGGGGGGGTATCATTTGTTGCTGTGCTATGAATCAATCCTGATGCATGGAGAAAAAAAAAGGCTCGAGTTCGTGAGGTTTTTACCAGGCGTCAAAGTTGCCAAAACCAGTCTTGGCTTTCTTCTTGACAGGCGCTGCGTCCTCCTCTTCATCTACGAAGCCTATAATCTCGTCTTCGTCTTGGTTCTGCCTTTCTTGTTTTGCTGCTTGGAGGTACTTGCCTACGCCCATACCATGACTGCTGGCGTTATCTACAGTGCCGTCTGCGCGTATGCGCTTACCGGTCCAAGTAGTCTTGTCGTCGACGGTACCGCCTTGCCGTTTGATTTCCTCGGCCTCGAGTTCCTTGTTTTCCTTGTCTTTGCGCTCTTTTTGCCACTCTTCAAAGGGGTCGACGAAGACGACTACGTCTAGTATTTCAATGTCGTCCACAGGCTTATCTTTTTCGCCTACTTCGGCGGTTTCCATGGATCGTAGTGTCGTGTCCAGTCCTCCGACTACACGCGCAAAGATGGTGTGTTTCCGATCGAGATGCGGGACTGCTCGATAGGTGATGAAGAACTGGCTTGTGTTTGTGTTTTTGCCCTTGTTTGCCATGCTTAGCACGCCTCTGGTGCTATGCCTTTCGGGTCCCTCAAACTCATCTTCAAACGGCTTACCCCATACACTCTGTCCACCTCTTCCTGTACCTGTAGGATCTCCACCCTGTATCATGAAGCCCTTGATATTTCGGTGGAAAATGGTATGGTTGTAATACCCCTTCTGCGCCAGCTTGACAAAGTTCCATACTGCGCGTGGAGCAAACTCTGGCAAGAGCTCGATATTCAGCTCACCCAGAGTAGTCGATATCCGCGCATAGCCTTTTTGTTTTACACGCTTCGGCTTGAGCATGTAATCTTCGTCGGAGAGAAGAGCGCGCTCGCCTGACGTGTGCGGTGTGACGCCGGTGGATGTAAAGGATGCTGCAGCTTTACCAGAAGTGTATACTGCAGCGTTGTAGGCTGGCTTTTTGGGCTCTGCGCTGCTCGCGGCCGCCGAGCCATTTCGTGGGAGGTTGGCAATAGCCTTGGATGTTGTTCCGCCTTGCTCCTTGATCTTCCTGTTCTCGCGCGCTTTCGCAACGGCTTCTTTTGCCTTAAGGATCTTTGCTGCATTGCCTAATGCATCCCTGTTCACGCTGCTCTCATTCTCTGCCACTACCGTATCTCCATCCTTGACATGTTTGTATGAGCTAAAATCTCTTGACTCAATGCTCTGTGGGTCCTGTAGTGTGATGATGTCCTTGCGTGTGAAATCTTCGTCGCTGACTAGGTCCCGCCAGTTCTTTGCCTTGATGTTCAACCGCTCCACAGTATCCCAAGCAAACACATTACCGCTCTTCTTCAGCGCAACAACGTGCGTGTTGTCTGTCAAGACCTTGTATGTGACCGGGTCTACGTATTCGCCATCTTCGTTTTTCGTAAAGTGCAGTGTAATAAGATCAGCGCGCTTCAAAGGCGATCCGTCGATGGGGTTCGTGTTGGGGTGTTTCGACAACCAGGTGAGGATGTGTGTGAGGTCGAAGATCGTACCCGATGAAGTACAGACGGGGTCAGTAAAGGGCTGGAGCGAGACGGCGCAGTAGTTGAACGGAAGGCGCTTGAATGTGGAAGATAGGCCGGCAGCAGACGCTCGACTTGCGCTGTTCGCGCCGCGCGCGTTTCCAAACGAGTCGGCCGATGACCACTCCGAGTGGGTAATGTAAAGCTTGTCGGTTCCCTTTCCCATGTCGAAGATAAGTTATTTACAGGATTAAGAACTGAGTGGTGTTGAATGGGGCGCAAAACATGGAAGCGTTGGAGAGGCGACGCGCTGCTAACTTTTGGCCGATCCATCGTCGTTAGCGCGACTCCACATTTCCAGGGCTCTCTGACTTGCCATGGAACAACGTCATTCCCTGGCTTTGTCAACCTCAACTTCAAATGTCAATATCAACGTGCAATAGCATTATCCTTTTTCGTACGATAGCATGTAATCGATCCACTGGGAGCATGAAGCGCGGCATATATAGCGAGGTAGGTCGGACCTGCTCGAGCTTGGTCCCTCATGTTGAGCAAGCATGAGCACATTCGAGGTATGTTGACAAATTTGAAATATGATTCATCATAACCCTGCGGCCTCGCAGCCTGTATGCTGAGATTACCTCCATACCCGACAACATTTCATTACTACGCCTGCTTTATGCATTATTCATCATCACAAGTAGGGATAACGATATACTCCCTCATGTTGCTATGATTCGTTCTTGTCATATAATATGTGAAGTATGCGGATCCGCACAGTCGTAGGGCCTAACTTCTCCTCATATCCAATTTATTTAGCCTCTTATGCTTTGCGTCTAGAGGGCCTTGGCTGATTGGTGTAAATGATAATGGCGGAGGTGGCTGCTGTGGCTGGCTCGAAGGCTTCGGCGACTGTCAGATAGCAGGACGTTATTTAGTCGCCAGGATAACCTAGTACCGTATGAACCACGCTTTGTGCACATTTTGGAGGATTAAACCAAACTGTGTAGCCTCAGGTAACAAACACGGCCAGCATTGATGCTATTTTGATATCAGTTAGTATAGCGGTAGACAGCACGGCACGCGTTGTTTACAGAATAAGAAAATATAGGGACACAATAGGCTTGCAAACATGAAACAAAGATAATAGGGAAGCCTCAGAGAACACCAGGATCTGATTAATACTAGAATGTTGGGAGCTGAGACCTGTTGGATGTTGTCTTGGATGTGGCCAACTTGGTTGGGATGGGAGATGCATCCTTGCATGTTTTGTGACATGGAATTTTGGCACCGGTCGCCACAATTTGGTGTTGTGCGTCTACACCTAAGATGATTACAGTATATGTGGCAAAATGCATGTCAAACATATGATAGGGATCGACTAAGCTGCCAAGCCGTGCGCTGGAATGATCGGTCAAAGCAGAAGTGTTGGACGGTGAGCCTCGTCACGGGCTTCTTGTCGCTAGCTGGGCATTGGGCTTCCTTAACAAGAATCCGGCCGTCGGTAGGACGGAGCCGTAGCTTTCGTAGTTAAGAATAACAACGCAAACGGTTTGGATTACCCGAGAGATGTATCCATGTACATCGATGATGCAATCTTGATTCCCCATAATTGATCATCATCAACAAAGGTCGCAGCGACACGTGTAGATAGCATGTACTTATCTGCCGCGCCATCATATGCCCATGACCCATGCCGTGCGACTGCACAAAACACAGTGTCTGATGGCGTAGTACTTGGTGTGGCAGCGAGCGCCATCGCCTGAGGGCGGCAACAATGCCACGATGAAGGATGCAGATATCCGGAGAGTGGTTTATTTTTATCGCCTTGCTAGCGTCCGAACGGGGCGTTCGAAAGGAATCCTGTATGCTTTCCTTCTTTCTTCAGCAACGGAACGCACAGCCCCTTGCCATGTCGCCTATCTGGTGGGGTTCGTTGGTTTGTTTTTGGGGAATAGGGCAGGCTGCGGGTCAGGAACACAATGATAAGCTTTGTGGTCTTCAGCCACGTCAAGATTGCGTACGAAAAGGCCGTGTTAGTGTCTTGCGCTGATGATGAGTGTGGTTACAACGAGAAGTGAGCGGAAAAACGAACAAAGCGAGGCCCAAGAAAGCGCTAGTGCGTACGCTTTGGGCCTAGTGAATACATGTCCAGTGGGCAGGAAGGGTCCACGGGTCTGCGCAGCTTCCACTTCACCACAGCTGCACGGCAGCCACAGTGCAATTAAACACACACCCTCTTCCATCACGCTCTTCCGGATGGTTTCCATTGAAACCACAATAACATGTTTATCAACCCTGTCCGTTCTCAATCATCCATCATGGTGCTAGAGCCAGTTGCAATCTTATCACTTGCTTTTTCTCTCGTTAGCTCCATCATCTCTCGACAAAAGACCCGAAGCGTAAGCTGGCCATGAGAAAAACTCCCTTAGATCCCCCTTTCTCGACAATGTGGATCTCGATCGGTTCCAGGAAGCACCGCATTGTGATCACCACTGCTCGGGGCAAGCCACAGGTATCCCTGCGTTTGTCTTTGGATCTGCCGAGCTCCAAAGCCCATCAGCTGGCCATGTCTTGGTGAACGCCCGATTCTGTTATGATCTTTGAATAATGATGGTGTGGCTGCACGTGGTGCACTGCCTGGCTTGCTTAAAGCTTTCGTGATGCCTCTGCTTCTGTGTTCGACAGCTTGAAAGAGTTCTCCCGTATCAATATGTTTTCTTCATCAGTCACTCGCTCATATTTCTTCATCAACTGCTTAATTCTAGGCTCTCGTGCCGCGCCATTCGCTAACTACACCACACCCAACACCACTACGACATCGTATCTACCCTATCCAACTTCTCTAGACCCTATTTTAGACGAGTATCCAGTAGATGATCTGCTTCCCCCGAACGACAAGGAAGAAAGATGGATCAGCCCAGAGTACAAATGGATCTTTCAATACCCACTTCCCATACCCCCAGTGAAGGAATCAAAATTGTAGGATACTCACCAGTCAGATCATGATTGAAGACTAAGACAGAACAGCACCTACACCAACAATGTCACAGGCGCCATCATCGACTATTACGAAGTCGATGTCAAGGCCATCAAAAAACAAATATATCCTGACCTCCCACCTGCCGATATGTTCTCGTATGATGGGCACGTGCCTGGTCCAACTTTCAAGATGCGCAAGGGTCGAGGTAAGATTAGTCTTTAGCCTACTCGTACTAAGCTAATGCTCCATTTCAGAGGCTGTTGTACGGTTCAACAACGTCAGTCCAACAAATTCGTCCGTCCACGTGCATGGCCAATACAATCGTGCTCCCTTTGATGGATGGGCAGCAGACTATGCGCTGCCTGGCCAGTACAAAGACTACTACTATCCAAATGCACAAAATGCACGAACAATCTGGTACCATGTCAGTCAACTCTAAATTAGTTGCTACCAAGGACGAGCTGATATCCATAGGATCACACCGAACATGAAACCGGCGAGAACGTGTATTTCGGACTTAATGGTTTCTATCTATTGAGCGATGACGAAGAGCAAGCGCTTGACTTGCCAGATGGCGACCTTGATATTCCACTTGCTATTTCTGCAAAGCAATATACCACAAACGGATCCCTGATATACAACACCAACAACCACACTGGGCTTTGGGGTGATGTGATTGAAGTGTAAGAAAATCTTTACAGGTTATCCCATGGCGACTAATCATTTCGGCAGCAACGGACAGCCTTGGCCATACCTAGAAGTGAAGCCATGCAAATACCGTTTCCGCGTGCTCGATGGTGCTGTCAGTCGTGGTAAGTCAGATCATGTGATCTACATCGTAACCAGCGTGCTGATTCACAATAGCATTCGACGTTTACCTCAAGGAAGACGGAAGTAATGAAACACTGAGCTTTAATGTCATTGGTTCAGATTCCGGTATGTCGATTGATTGATATATTCGGGTTCTGCTGATTTTCTTCTCAGGTCTCTTCCAGCACCCAGTAGAAACCAAGAACCTTGCCCTGGCTGAAGGTGAACGTTATGAGATAATTGTCGACTTTGCCGACCACGCGGGCAAGAACATCACCATGTACAACGAGCGTGGTATGGCTGGAAACCTCGACTTTGCCGCAACTAATCGCATTATGAAATTCATTGTCAGCGACTCAGACGACAATTCCATAGTCAACGATCCTCTCCCGACTGAGATGCACTACATCCCCCCGCCACCAGAGGCCAATGTCACAAAGAACTTTACCTTTTCCCGTGTTAACGGTTCATGGGTCATCAACGGTATCGGTTGGGTAGACATCGAAAACCGCATCCTGACGCGACCAATCCTAGGCCAGGATGAAATCTGGGAGTTGAGGCACGGAGGTGGAAATGCCTCGCATCCAGTTCACATCCATCTCGTTGATTTCCAGATCCTGTCTCGCACTGGAGGAAGAAACACGGTTATGCCATACGAAGCAGCAGGCATGAAGGATGTTGTTTGGGTCGCTCCTGGTGAAGTTGTCAGAGTCGTGGCAAGATACGCACCATGGAAGGGTGTCTATATGTTCCACTGTCATAACCTCGTCCACGAGGACTACGAGTAAGTTCAGAGCCTTCACCTCTTGGATACATCAGGACTAATAGTTCAAAGCATGATGGGAGCATTCAATGTGACTCAACTCGAGAAATGGGGATACGACAAGGACACCATTTTCATTGATCCAATGCAGCCCGAATTCCGCCCCAAGAACATCAACTCGGCAGACTACACGGAGGAGGCTATTATGGAGAAACTGGATTGGTTCTACCACACGAACGCATACAATAGGACCATGGCTTGAGGAGACGGCATGTGTACATAGAGCCGCTCTCAAGTGGATGGTTGAGGAGTGACGATGCATATTCCCGTGCCCTTGTGCACCTCAACTTAGATCATAGAACGCATTACCACGACTCTCGCTTACACGTTTCTGTAATTATCAATCTTTTTTTCTTTGATAAAAATCACATTCTTTACAGCCTCATCCTCGAGTCTCATCACGTGCCAAGTGTTGCGACACCGAGTGTATTGACTTGACACTGTAAGATATTGGGCGGGAAAGCATTAGTGCAGTAAGTTTCTCATGAGTAATATGACACATTCCAGAATCTTCACCGACATCTGACAACTCGTATTCTACCCCTTGTACTCATGTCATGGCGGGAGTGAAAGCACCCGGGGCCGAGAGCCGATTAAGCCATTAATCTTTTCCTTCCTCTACGTCGCCGCCTCGATTCACAGTCGACTCATCTCCAAATATCAGGCTTGTTATTAAGCCCTCCGTGACCCGTAAACATGACACTTGTGTGTGTCGCAGCTTTATGAGCTGAAGTATACGCAAGCACAAACAACGATACCTGATGCCCAAAACCAGCTATTCTTATCAACAAGAATATGCTTACTACGAGAATATATTATTGCGCCCCCACTGCCAACTTAGGTTATTCCGAACTTTGACCAACAGGACGCATGCGAAACACTTGAACCTCACATCACGCCATGTAACGACATCGTCTCACCCTCTCCCCGCCAACGTACTTCCGCCTGGGCACTAAGAAAAAGAGACAGAGAAAAAAAAATCCAAAACAAGACTATTGCATGAAATTTCTGTCCAACATACTCAAAAGGCCTTATTACGGGGCATGGGGAAACGGGACGATTCCATAGTATATTGCGAAATGAGAAATAGAGGGATGACGGGGGCCAGGGTAGCGGACACCGCCCCCACAGAAAACCCATATTATCCCGAGACTTGAGCTTGAGGTCTCCACGATCTCGATAAGATAACGAGAAGAAGAAGGTGGCTGGGACTATGACTGGGAAAAGGGGACTGGGGGGACCCAGAGGGCCAGGAGGTATGATGACCACCATCCTTCCATTTTCCGTGTCCAACGATTAAACTAGGAACCCCCCAGATCGTCACCCCGAAAAAAAACTTCCACACGAGTCGCGATGTCAAGGGTTGCCTGTTTAGGCAGGATATTCGGGGGATCGGGGGGTTTACCGGGGGGAAAGAAAGTGCAGAGAGAAAGAGGGCTTGTCCATGTTTCACTTTCAACGTTTTTAACTAGCAAGGGGTGTGGGACTTGGTTAGTGTGTAAGTAAGTAATCCCCGGTAGTTAGTTACCGCCGTAACGAGAGAGAGAGAAAGAGAGCACGCCATACTTAATCTCTGCTGCGATCGGGCCCCCCTTGCGCTACTACTTACGCAAACAGTCTAAATGGATGTGAAGGGAAAAGTGCAGGGTTGTAACTTGACAAGTTTGACACCGATTGATGATGTAGATCAGGGTTTGTCATGTAAACCTTAGCTAGCTAGCTCAGCAGCCTAGCGTACGTAGTAACCCCGACTATCTTGTCCATCGCAATACCAACGATAAAGACCAAAAAAGGGGGTCCATCAAAGTGCCTGTCTATGTACATAGAGTTTCGAACTACTTACAAATTCCGCGCCTTGCAACGAGAACAAAGGTTACACCACCAGCAGCCTCCATCGCCCATCCCCCCCCCCCAAAACAGCACTAGCGCCATCCCGCCCTCATACTTACGCTTTAGGGCGAGTGTGCGGCGGGCATGCTACTCGAGAACTGTGATACGGTAGCCCTACGTCTACTTGAAACCCTCAACAAAAAAACTTTACCCATCCACAACAAATGTCATCATCAAACAAAAGAAATCCCAGAAACCGTAGCCACGGGTTCCAGAATTCCAGAACAATTCCTCAAATGAACGCCCGAAAAAAAAACCCCCGGCAGGCAGGTACATATACGTACATGGCTAATTTCCCACGCGAACACAGGGCCTGGATGATGTAGTAAGACGGGGAGAATACCGGTCCTCAGGCCCCATTCGCCCGTTGTTTCTACGCAACGTATCAACCGGAACGCAACGTCGTACCGTATACCCTTCTACTCAACTCTGGTCCTCAGCCCCATCCACCCGTCGCATCCTGCGCTCTACTCCGGTCTCCAGACCAACCTGCGTACGTACGTACGTACGTACGCTACTCTACCACGAACGCGTACCCGAGTCCTCTAATCTCAACTACTACTAACAAACGTACTGAACTCCCGCCTCCCCCCCCCTTTCTCCTACGTACACGCACATATTCATCCTCGACTCACATGACTCAAATCACCGTATCTACTTTACTCTGGTCCCGCCAGGCGACTTGCTCTGCCCATCACGACGCGTACACGCATCCTCTAATCTCTCGTGAAAAAAAACGCTCCCCCTCCCCCTCCTCTTCATACTTCTTCCACCCTTACTTCCACCCCCCACGTGACTTTCCCCCACCAACTCCACGTGCGTACCCATCCTACCATACACTTGCATCTGCCGTATGCCCCACTACTAGCACTACGTAGCTTACAAAATCCACGAGTAATGAAAAAAAAAGTGGGCGGGTTGTCAGTATGTCGGTCCGACTGTGAGGTTGTTGATCAGTGGATTCACATGTCGTTGGCGCCGACGGGGGGGCAGAGGAGGGGGGAGGGGTATTTTCAGCCGCTTAGCGCGGCGATGCTTGGAAGGGGGGGTGATGGGATTGTTAGAGGGATGGAGGTGTGGAGGGGTGGTGATGCTGGGGTGGTCTTGGGGGTCAACAGGTTTTTTCTTTTGTGGGAGTGCGGTTATTGAGAGGTGCAGAGTGATTGAGAGGTAGAAACATGTCGAGTTTTACAACTTGTTCATGGGGATGAGGAGGTAATAAAGAATACATCTGAATTGATGTTGGTTAATCACGAACACGTAGTCCATGTCATCTAAGAGGAATCTATCATCTACAGCGACAAACGCTATTCTTCTTAGTATTTGTAAAAGGAAAGAAAGAAACCAGGACCCCAATGCGCCATACACCTATGCTATGCTGTACAGGATTTAAAAAAAACATATCGAGAATCAAAAAGTCAACCATCTATTCCTCCAGCACACCTGTCGCCATCATGCTCTCCTTTAGAGCCTTCTTGTACTCGCGCTCCATGCCGTGCTTGACAGCGTCAAGGACAGTGTTTACTGTGGCCTTGGGCTCGAAGCGAGGCTTGGTACCGTCTTGGAAGACACCAGTCTTGACCAGGATCGAGTACCAGTTGGCGTCGGGGTTTTGCTCATTGTATTCATTTGTACCGCGAATGTCTGATTCTGGTGTGTCGCCTACAAAGTAGACAGTGGAAGGAGGCGAGTCGATACCGTGGGTGTCTTTGCGCCATTCCTGGAGCAGCCGAGTAGCGAACTGGAAGGTGCCGATTTGTGGCTTTCCAAATGCAGTTGTCTCAAGGGTACGGCCAGTGACTGCCTTGAACATGGCCTCCAAGGAAACGCGGAGAGCACCCATACCAATACGGGTAAGGTCGTGCGAAGCGCTCCAGACCACGTCGTTGTGCGAGAAGAAGACTGGCGGGCCTTCGTCGTAGTTCTCGGACCTGGTGCCAAGACGACCCTTCTTTGACATGAGTAGGTCAAGAATGATCTGCTGGTCCGACGCCCAATCACGTGAGTCGGCGAAAACGAAAATGGCCTCGATCTCAACCTCAGCAAAGTTGCGGGTTCGGGAGTTGTTGTACTCTTCCTCTGTAAGCTTGCGGAAAGGGGTAGTATCTTGGTTGTCCTTGATGATGTCACCAGGGGTTACACTGAGGTCGTGTTAGAAACAGGTATGCGGGCGGAACAGCGGACGAGACTTACACATCCTTGAATCCGTAACCTTCGGCGACAATGCGGCACTTCTCTCCCTCGCCACCGACGACCAGCACAGTACCATACTTCTCGGCCATCTCCCTCATTGGAGTATGTCCACAAATGAACTGGCCAGGCGAGACTTCAATCTCTAGCTGCTTGCTCAGTTGGATGCATCGCTCAGCTTCGGTCTTGCCGCCACCATTGGTGACGAAAATGTATGGGACTTGGATGCCATATTCATTGTCACCGTTGAGCATCTTCATGGCCTCAATGGCTTCTGGAATGGGACGGCCACCACGAATGAGGACACCGTCAATGTCTATGCATAGTTAGAACTATTTCGCTTCACATGGGACTTAGTCTAACGCACCAAAAGCAAATGCATATTTGTCCGTGACAGATGTTTCAGGAGGAGTCAGATCAGGTGATCCAGGGGCGACAGCATCAAGGTGACGTCTGGCAGTCTCGAAGCCGCTGGCAATTTCCGACTGTTTGGATGGGGCCATGAGATGTTGTGGGGGCACAACGACGGTCGGGCCCATGTTGATATTCTCGCGGGTAGCCTCTACTGCTGAGAGGCGACGCACGAAACCGCTTCCCGCTACGGGAACTGCAAGAGGTGCCGACATGGTGTAAGGTAGTTTTGTACAAAATTTGTTCCAATCACGAAGGTTTGCTAGAAAACGATCTCCTCTGGAAGGTGGAGTTTGGAGGCTGTGGCGAGTTGATAGCGGAGGAAGTTTGGTGGTCTTTATAGCGTGTGAGCCCGATAGTCAGGTCGATTCTCCAGAAAACCCCTCAAGTAAGCGGAGAGAATAGTGGGTATGTGGATATGTGGGAACGTGGAGGTGGGTTGTAATGCTACATGGTTGGTTTGCGCAAAGATACCGAGTGTTTTATACCAAAGACGAACGGTCAATCCAAGCTGAACCCTAGCATTGCTAGAGTGACAATCTTCATCATTAGTGGCATAATACTCTGCACGTCTACGTCGATTCACCAGACCTTGAACATGAGAACTACTAGTTTAGGACTTTGTCGGTGAGTATTGCGTAGAGTGATGGCGTCACCCGGTTGAAACAAGCGCAAGGGACGCTTTAGAACGTTGAGTTCGATGGCAGTACAATATCCCAGCCGTGTGCTTCTCGACATGTGCTTGGAGATTGTGGCACGTTTCTCGATGCTGATTCGATACATACGACAGTGATGTTGCAATAATTGTGGGTATACGGCCGAAGTTGTGCGGCTGCTTGAATTCCTGGCAATCTTGGATTACATACTTACAGCCGTCTCATGCGCGCCATGTGGCAGACGGCCGCGGTTGGTGTTGTCGCTGTGGAACGGTGTTGCAGAATTTTGAAGTTCTTCGGCGCTATGATGTCACTGATGATTAGGTTGCATGTCGCTACGCCGCATGAGAGCATACATCCTCACCGGCCGGAGGTGCCCGCGAATGAACGTTCGTCAGGGACTCAGGGACTCTGAGTCGCCGTGTCAAACACTTGCCAAGTGTGAAAATGGACACGAACGAAATGCCAGCCGCCCTGGTCTTTTGGCGAGGACAAGCCGGCCTGCGTTCTCGCCAAGCTTCGGGGACTTGATGAGGCAACTTGAGGCTCAACGGAGGCTGTCTCGGCAGACATGCCAAACGTTGAGCCGTCCTGTCAGGGTCTGGCGCGTCGCATCAAGGAACGGCATTAGCATCCGCCGTATAGTGCAATCGTTCGTGCTTGCGATATTGTGATAGCAACAGCAACAACAGTTTGCGATATCCTCGAATTGACGCCCGCACCATCGTCCCATCTCTTGCTCCGAGTAAAACCGCGCGCGCGCATCTACACAGCCTACACACAGTGGATCGCTAGTACCTAGAGTAGGACAGGTATCCACATCCAAGGCACAAGCATGGGTCACTTGACGTAACTGTACATGACCCTATAAGCCGCCCGGTGCTTTTTGCAGAGTGGATGACGGTTGTAGGTATGCGACTTGTACGTGAAACCGGGCCAGGTCGCAATAAAGGTAGCAATGAGGCATTTCTGCAAGACAGAAGTGACGCTGGCCATGTCAGTTCTCTCGGCCACGACAACAACGACAAGACCAAAGACTGCGTATGCTACCAGTAAGTGACATTGGCGCAACAGTGGAGGATGCAGGATTGTCAGGCAGCCTCCCAATAGGACTACGAGTACATTTAGTGGCTAGTCATCGTACGCATCCCTGGCGCATAAGGGCGTCTGCAAATGCCGAGAAGCCGTTTAAGACCGGAAGCAATCTGCAAGAAGTAATGATCGGACGACGTCGCTGTTGAAGGTGAAGGGATATTCGCTGCGCTGTTGCCGCTACCGCTGCTAGCGTTTGGTGTTTGGATGCTGAAGAGATGGAGAAAGGACCACCAGAGCAGAGAAGGCGGGGTGTGGTATCGAATCCACATCTCCACGCCTCCACGTCTCCACGAGTTTCCTGGAGCGGCTCCGGATTTGCAACCAGCGGGAATTAACCAGTATAAGTTCTATCTACACACCAAGTTCCGCGGACTCACCGCAATTTCTGGCACATCGGTCGATTGTCGCTAGGGCGGCGCTATGCCGTCCTAAAGTGCTTTGCTCTGCAGGTCTCGGGCATGATTGTGCGAGACTTGCTTCACGCACCAGGTTCCCGTCGCAGGGACTCGGTTCAGCTGCCGTGCTCCACTGTTTTTGCGGAGGGACGAAGTGGGAGTGCTGATCGGTTAGGGGAAGTGGGCCCTCTGGTCTTTGGCAGTGTCGCTGTCGGCACAGTACAGCCGAGTATGTCGCGGATATGGTGTTTCACCGATTGTGAGGGTAGACGGATGTGGATCGGTGCTTCGAGTATCAAGTGCTATGATAAGTGTGAGCTCTGAGGCGGAGAGAGAGAGAGAGAGAGATGGGTGGGGTTGTTGGTCATGGGAAGGAAGGAGCACCTTGCATCGAATAGGCAGGAGCAGGACCGAACCACATGCGTTGCGATTTGCATCGCTGCCCCGCGTTAAGCTCCCACATGCCTTATCCATCTCCACATTACGAGTAAGACTTATCCTCTGAAGCCATGAATTGGACAGGTGGTTCACTGCAGCGCACTAAGAAAGCCAACTCGGGCATGCTGCAACGGCAGAGAGCGTATTTTGCCAAGGCACGAACAAACCTTCAGAACATACCTCAAACGCCTGTTGCTCCCTTTATCCCGAGTTATCTTCGCGACAATAGCAAATCGGATTATCTAGCGGTTCCTTCATTTGAGTTGATCTCAGACCGACGTAGGGGGTGCTCTGTGAGAGGTCGAGAGGAGCCAGCACAGAGTGAGGGTATACCTGTACTAGACAAGTGGTGCGCGATCAGCAGGCATCAAGTATCTCCACACGAATCACCCATCAGGCGTGTCGCTCACCATGACATCCAATCGGAGACCTCACCTCAAGCTCAAGAAGGTAGTTGTGGCGAGCAGATCCATGATTACTTGCGTTGTGTTTACACAAAGAAACTGACGGCAGAGTAGACTTGAGTGGCCCGAAACGCAAGGCCCCAGACAAGAATGTGGAGATGCAACTGCTGGAGGCGAATAAGAAAAGGCTGTTAACACGGGCAGATTGGATCGGCATCGACGCTTCAAAGCCAGTGCAACTGCAATTTGTGTCGTGCAAGCAGAAAGAGAAGATTGGCAAGCGCAGAAGAACGAGTGGAAAATGCCGCGCGCAGAGAAGACAGTGTGTTGAGGGAGAATTAAAACCAAAAAAGCCTCATCTTCAGCACCGGTCCTTTGCTAAACTCTTGGAAAGTCGTGCTAACCAGGACGGACCCGAGAACATACACATTCGCATAGGCACAGAGGCATTGACAGATGAAGAGTCTGATCAGCTCGAAGAGTGTGCGCAATCAGAAGCTTGTTCAAGTCCGATGCTTTTTAAGCAAGACGATTTGGTTTCCCACGTCGCAGCGACATGTGAAGATGCTCGGCACCATGGCGATGCTTCAAGTTGTGCGGAGTCTGTTGCAGGTAGAGACAATTGCGACAAGTTGCACCAGCAGCAGCTGACAACAGTGAATGTGGACGAATGCAATAGGTCGACATGCAGCTTTGGGCCCGTTGACCGTGGTCACAATGACGAGCGCAATCTGCGTTTTGTGTTTAGGGGCCGGGCCTCTCCCATGGGTCTACGTACTCACCACGTAACGGGCAGGCAAAAGATGGATGAAACACAGCTACTCGAAGAACGAGCATCGGCATCCACATGCCAGGCCAAACATGTGCATCGGGTCACCAATGACAGCGAGGACCCAAGTGCATACGCAATCGTCGATCAAGAACCCTGGATGGCGTATCTCGCAATTTCCGACGTTTCTTCACGGGAAAACGATACGGGAGTTTGCACCAAAGACGAATTGCAGCTTGACGAGAGCATTGCGGGAAATGAGAGTGGGTGTGATACAAGATGGTCAAAGGGCGCCACTCAGGGCCTGGAAGAAGAGGATGGTGAAAGTTTTGGGGTAGCGTCAAAATGCGAGTGTTTGGCTTCGTTGGGGCGGGGTATAGTAGGGAGAGCGGCAACAGGGTATGTGCCGGAGATGAAAGGCATTCGCGCAGACCAACCAAATTGGAGCCATGTACAAACTTTGGGCGAAGATGAGAAGGAGTGGCAGGCGTTTGTCTTGGGTAGCGACCAGAGTCAATCCTTGCCAAGGGTGCAGCTGAATGCACGCCGACGTTTTGCGCAGACGGTAGTAGAGTATGCGCAAGAGGCATGTTCAGAGCAGCTGCCGCTATCCATTGCAGCGAGTTGCGCAAGCACCCCCGCCCGGAATGAAGCCGAAATTCCGTAGATTTGGTTCTTCCACACACACGACAGGGGACGAGATGCAGCAGATTGAATGCTACGGGTGAGGCCATGCAAGAGATATGTACGTATGTACAGAAGGAATTACTTTGGGGGAGATGTTGAGGAGACGAGAAGTGTTGGGCATTGTGAGTCAATGGTTAAAAGGTGAGGCGGTAGGTGGGCAGTGAGTGACTGATGCATGTGTACTGGCACATACTAGTACATCTATCTACTTGGCTGCCTAGGAAGCAAGGCATGTTTAGATGTGGCTTGTCCCTTTGAACGTTCAGATGCAACGTCCCGTAGCAGCACTTGGACATTCGGGGCGACTCAGATTGGCATAGACGAAAGAGCGCCGAGTAAGGAGCAGAGTAGTGTATACAGGTATTCGGGCCGGGCGGGTATGAAGAGTGAATGGGTGGGTAGTGTACTAGGACTAGTAGCAGTTGCGATACCCCAGTCAGGCGTGACGACGGAGTGTATCGTTGTAGATCCCAACAAGCGGTAGCTAAGTAGACACGGACGTATGTACTTATGCCTAATCATCGTTTCAGCGGGGACGTGGGATGAGGCGGGACTAAAGAAGTGGATTGGCCCGTTTTGGCCGAGGAGCAAATGGCAAGGCCCATGGTTTGACTTTTAAAGTGGTAGGCTAGCGTAGCTGGCGACGTACCGTCGTGTTGCATGTCAGCGAATGAAGATGGGCAAGTGGCATTGTCTTTGTGTGTCGCTGACGCGCTACGTGAATAGGGCCCGGATGGCGTCGAAGCGTTGGAGACGTTAGCTGGTGGGTGTTGGCAGCGTTGGCGCCTTTTGGCAAGGGCAATTTTACGAGTGCGTGCTCGGTGTTAGTGTGTTGATGTGTGTGCGCAGGACGGACGCATTGAGAAGGGGCGAGTGAGGGAGGTGTACTGTAGGAGGGAGTGTAATACATGGCTATGCTAAGAGTTTGACGAATGCAGCAACTTGAGTATGGATAGAGGGCACGCCAAGATGGGGAGCAATGCGAACACCTGCAGAGGATGCGTCAGAGTCGGATCAACATGCATGTCGTGGGTAGTAGCAATTGTTTGAAGAGGGAGGGGAGGGGGTGGCCCGGGGCAGGCCGAGTGACGTGCGGGGCTCTATTTCTGGGTGAGCCCTATGAGTTGAGAGGACGTGGTGACCGGGCATCCTTGTCTTTTGGCCCAAGTGGACTCGGACCGGGGCAAAGGATGGAAATGCCAGAGCCAAAGCCAATGCCGGTGGCGGTGCCAGAGTTACAGGCGGACAGGCGGACAGGCGGACAGACAGATGGACAGACACGGTGAAGCCCAAGGGCAGGCGGTGGTCATGTGAGGGCGCGGGGTGCGGTGATGATTCAGAGCAGCGTGCAGTTGGGGCGAGCAAGAAACGATTGGACCCAGAGGACGGAGAGGACAGAGGACAGCACACCGCCAGCCGGTCACATGGACTGGCTGAGTGGCAGGCAGGTCCGGATAAGGGCGAGAGGGCCACGACGGCAACAGCAGACAGTCCACAATTGATGTGCGGGGGGCGTTGTGGCATGATTGGCGCTCGGACGCCAGGGGTAAAAAAAATCCTTTGCCTTCTCGAAGCCGTGGAAAGATGACTAGCCGGGCGACCGTCACGCGACTCGGCGAGGCAGCAGTAGGTAGTAGCAACTAGATAACAGCACAAGCACAAGCACAAGCAGCCATGGGCCTGTCGTGGGCATGGCGAGTCATCGGGGGATTGCACAAGGGAGCCGTGAAGCAGCCGGGCGGGCAGGAAATTGGTGGCTCGAGGCAAACTTTGGCCATGACGACGGCGGATCCCTGGCCTCTGGTTGCGCCGTCGTTGGTGATCGAACCGTTGTGCCGGCTTCGCACTTTGTTTCACCCTGCCCGCGCGCCACGTGTGAGCCTATCGAGGCGCGCCCACAGCCACACATGGGGCGCCCCAGCCCGGCCAACAAGCGGCTTCCATGGCACTCGTCCTCCTCACCCACTACTCTACTCGGGGGAGTCATGGTAATCTACCATGGACAAGCAAGTACAGCACAGCACAGCACAGCAATAGCAAACTGAACCCTCACCGGTGGGTCAAGACACGAATGACCCACGCACTTCATGGCCATTGTCCTTTGTCGGGCCCGTGGACGCTGCTGCCCTACACCGACGTCTGCAGCTGCATACACACCCGACAATGATGATGTTGGTGGTGATGGGTGATGACGATGCAAGCAAGCACGCTGCCAGCCTTGCCAATGCTGCCTTCTCCTCTGCTTGCCTCAGTTTCCGGCATGGGATCCCCCTCTTTGGCCGGATGTAACGGCAGCGCTACAGTGGCTGTACGCACTTCTACGTGCATGGAAATACGTAGTAGCTGGATGCAACTCGCCCTCGGCCTCGCAGGTCGCCTGTCAGCGGGAAGCGGCAGCGTAGGCGCAGGCGGCCGCCATGGTCCTCCTTGGTGCACATGCCTGCACCTCTCTCTCTCTCTGCCTTGGCTCACCTGGCTGCACACTGGCATGCAGGCGGGCGTGATTGGCAGCGGTGCAGCTGGCGGTGCAGCAAATGGTGGATGGTGGATGGGACAACCTTGGGCTGCGTCATTGTCGACGCCGTTGCTCAGTGGGGCCTGACCAGTGTCGCGGCTCGCACTGGTTACCGCTAGCACACGAGACAAACAGGGAAGAGGGCTTTCGCAGCCCGAGTTACCATGTCTTGACGCGGACTTGGGCCCGACCGACAAGGAGGCACGGAGTCAAGGTCAAGGCATGCTGTCTGTGGCATAGGCGTGTCGTTTGCAAAGTTAGCTGAGAAAAATTCCGTCTGCGGCTTGTCTGTTCCTGGCCGCCGCCTTGCTGGCCCACTGCCCTGCCGCTGCCCGCTGCCCTGCCCACGGGCCTGCCCATATACATAGTAGTCCGAATACCTCCTAACAGAACACACACACGCACACACAAAGCCTGCCCGCTCCTTAGCTGTTAGCATTAGTCCGCCCTGCACTACCCGCTAGAGCTAGCAAAACAATTACACCCACACACGACATTACTCTACCACACACTCACCCACCCCCGACACTCCTCACTCGACCACCACTACCACCACCACCACCACCACCACCACCACCACCACATCACCCGCCTGCCACCGCTGCTGCTGCTGCCACCTATTACTTACTCCTCTTTCTCAACCCATCTCTCTCCACCCCGCCCAATCCCCTCTCGGCATCCGCTGCTGCAGTTGCCCGTCCTTCTCCGCACATCATCCCACTGCGTTTTTAACGAGCCTGGTGCGCCCGCCCTGGTCTGCCGAATCGCTTGCTGCAAAAAACCCCAACCGCCCCCCACGACTGCTCCGGAGTACTTCAGATCGCACAGTATCCATGCAACGTGCATGCAAGGCCGTCTCCCAGTAATCCCAGCTGACCTCCGCCTGCACCTCGCGCAGCGCGCGCTTCCTCGTCCAAACTCGTCATAGCCAAACGCATTCTGTCAGTCTCACGATGCGATCCAGTTCCTAGCCTGAGCTCTGCCAAAAAAAAGGACCCAGCAGGCTGTTGATCCTATCTGCTTTTATTCCCCAGTGGCGCCCGCCCGCCTTGACGCTCCTTCCACACATCCACATCCACACACACTCACATCCACTCACAACTCCCGCACACACCCCCTCCTACTCCAACTCGCCCTCATCCTCCTGCTCTCACCAATTGCCCGCGCCATGAAGATTTACTAGCACGCCCCGACATCAGCCTTTTGCTCTCTCAGACATCCCACCACCATGTCACTCCTCCACGACTCCTACGCGCGCCCGCGCATGCCCTCGCCCTCGCCTAGTTACGCTCGCGCCATTAGCATTTCCGCCCGTGGCAGCCCGGCCCTTACTGCCTCTTGCCTCAATGGTTCCCTCCAGTCAACCCCAGAAGGCATGGTGCCCATCTCGTCATCGCTACCCGCTATCCCTTCCTACACACTGCCAGAGTCGTTGCTCCCTCCTCCCGTTCAGTCGCAGCCAACTTCTTCGCCATCGGCCATGGCGGAAGCCCTAGGCAAGGGTCCAGGCCTGATTCGACGAGTTAGCCGGGGCGCCCAGGGTATCCCGCATCGCTTCCGTCGCGGCAATTCGACTGCTCAGCGCGACAAGAGCTCTGGTCCCGTCATTATGCGCCGCCGCAGCGACAGCAGGACTGCCGCCGACGGCGACACAGGCATCTCCGACTTTGACGCTTTCGAGGAAGAGGAGGCTATTGAAGATACATACGAGCCCATCCACGGGCTTGGCATCACCGGCCCTTCGCCCAGCTTCAGCTCAATACCCGACACCGCGGTCGTAGCCCCGGTACGCAACTCACGCCTCGAACAGGGCACTGTTTTGAAGAAGATTACCAAAAAGGAAAAGAAGGAAATCAACCTGCGTCTGGACCTGGAATCCGCAAAAGTCTTCTGGGACCCCTCCAGACCCTCAAAGGCCTTTTACATTGATGATGTAAAGGAAATCCGCTCCGGTCCAGAAGCAAAGCACTATCGCGAAGAGTGCGGACATTCAGAAAACTGGGCACCATACTGGTTCACCATTGTATACACCGACACAACACGATCAAAGGGCCGGATACGAACCATGCACCTCATCGCACCCGACGTTGGTGTCTTCAACATGTGGACCCAGACACTCGAATCCGTGTCACGTAACCGCATCGACCTGATGGCTGGCCTCATGGGCTTTGCCGACAAGAGTGCCAAGCTCGTGTGGCAAGGCGCAATGAAGAAGCGTGAAGGCGAAGAGTCCCTCGACTTCCCCAGCATTGTTGAGTTGTGCCGCAGCTTGCACATCAACTGCAGCGAAGCCACTCTTCGCATCTACTTCCAAAAGGCCGACACTCAGTCCACTGGAAAACTCAACCAACAACAATTCTTGTCTTTTGTCAGGCGCCTAAAAGAGCGCAAGGACATCAAGACAATCTACAAGTCCCTGACATCAGGCTCCAAAATCGAAATGGACAAGGTTACCTTCTTCTCCTTTCTCCAACAAGAACAGGGCGTCGATGTCAACGCAGACCTCGAATACTGGACCAACACATTTGAGCGCTTCGCACGTGCCACCAAGCCTCGAGCGCCTGCCACACCTGTCGAGGGCGGTGACATTCCTCTGCCCCTGGCCATGAACTTCTCGGGTTTCCAAACATTTCTCACGTCTGCCGCAAACTCTATTCTTCGCCCGGTTGGTCGCCAACAAAAACTCGATCGACCATTGAACGAGTACTACATCTCTAGCTCTCACAACACATACCTCTTGGGCCGCCAAGTAGCTGGTGAATCTAGTACAGAGGCATACATTACTGCACTTCAAAAGGGCTGCCGATGCCTTGAGATTGACTGCTGGGATGGAGCAGACAACGTCCCCGTCGTCATGCACGGCCGAACTCTAACCAAGAGCATTCTCTTCCAGGACACCATCAAGGTCATCAACAAGTACGCCTTTACCGAGTCGCCATACCCCGTCATCCTATCGCTCGAGGTTCACTGCTCGCCAGTCCAACAGTCGGCCATGGTCAAGATTATGATGCAAGAGTTTGGCGACAAGCTGGTGCTTCAACCCCTGGACTTTGAGTCGCAGAGCCTGCCTAGCCCTGAGGAGCTCAAGTACCGCATACTCATCAAGGTAAAGGGCGCTGCGGGTGACGAATTCGACACCAGAGCGCTCATTGGCGAAATCACGTCACGAAGGCAGCGCAGCTTCAGCTCACCATGGTCACGACCCATCATCATGAACGACAATGCTATCCCAAACTCGCCCCTTCTCTCAAGCCCGCCTTCGATGAGCCCGCCGGAGCGATCAGCTACCTTTTGGGCAACCCCTCGAACTTCAAACAATACGCTACCCACCTCAACAGCTGTAAGCTCGGCAGAAGACAGTGACAGCCCTAATGTAACTGCCGCAGAAGCTGCCGAGCTGGTTGACGACCGAAGCAAGCCCAAGAAAACCAAGACGAGCAACATCACCAAGGAGCTAGGAAGCCTCGGAGTCTACACCCGCGGTGTCAAGTTTACGGACTTTGGCAGCACGGAAGCCAACACCTTCAACCATGTCTTCTCCATCAATGAGCGCGCCTTCGACAAACTCACCAAGCCTGGAGCACGTGAGAAGCACCTACTCGAAGATCACAACATGCGCTGCCTCATGCGCGTATACCCGCACGCCTTCCGCATCAACTCGTCAAACTTTGACCCTCTCAAGTTCTGGCGTCGCGGTGTGCAGATGGCCGCTCTGAACTGGCAGACGTACGATCTTGGCCAGCAGCTGAATGAGGCCATGTTCGCTGGTGGAGACGACCGCACGGGCTACGTCCTCAAGCCGGCGGCACTTCGCCTCGAGTCACAGACACCAGTTGTTGGTCACCGCAAGGCGCCCAAGAAGCAAGTCAAGTTTACCGTACAAATCATCTCGGCTCAGCAGCTGCCTCGTCCGCGAGGTCTCGGGCAAGAGGCCAACATCAACCCATACGTCGAGTTTGAGATGTACTGTGCTGAAGACATGGGTGCAAATGCTACAGGTATTGGAGGCCAGGACGCATCAGCACGCAACGGTCACTCGGGTATTGGAAACCCTCTGCGCAAGCGGACGCGCATTGTTGAGGGCAACGGCTATAACCCCGAGTTCGGCAATGAAATCGACATGACAGTGACAACAAGATACCCCAGCCTCGTATTCGTACGCTGGACTGTCTGGAATTCGCTTGATGCACGGACCACGAATCACGCGCCACTTGCTACCTTCACAGCCAAATTAAGCAGCATCCAGCAAGGCTATCGTCACCTTCCTCTCTACGACAGCAACGGCGAGCAGTACTTGTTCTCGACCCTCTTCTGCAAGATCAAGAAGCAGGACATTATCGATGCACCTGAAGTCTCGAGCGGCACTTCGTGCGGGTCCTCGATTGACCCTGGCAGCCCCCTCCAGGAGCCTACCAACACCAAAGCGAGCCGCAGCTTCGTCAGACGCTTGATCAGCCGTGCACCTAGTGAACGCAGGAGGCGCAAAGAAGAGCTGCACCGCACAGGAAGCGAGTCACGCGAATCTGACCTAGACCCCATTAGTCGCTCAAGCACAATGGAGCGATAGTCCAAGCTCCAGATACCGCCTCACTCCTAGGTGTGCAGCTGACAGTGTCGCCACGCATATCTGTAAGCACGAGTTCCTCGGCCTGCAGGTGGTGCACCATACAACTAGCAGCATGTTGTTCACCCCACATGTACTCATATTTGGCCGTGCGCCGGTTTCTTACTCTTCTAAGAAACCTGACGCCATGACATGGGCCACGGCTATGTGTCCCGCACCTTGACCCCAAACACGGATATGCGGAACAAAGCTAAGAAAATCTCGGGCAACGGCACCATGCGTATGCTCCCGCTTCCGACAACTATCGGATATCCAACAGAATCGCAATTACTACTGCTCGGCCCAGCAAACACCGCTTTGCACAAAAAAAACAAAAAGTTATCCTTGATTCTCAGTCTGGTCCTGGGCGTCGATCGCTTTCATCCTTGCCGTGTGTATTCGATTCTAGCATATACCCTTTTTTTTCGCAACAACTTTTTTATTTCTTTTCATTGTTTTTTTCCCGGGACCGGAAACATTGGAGTAGGTGAACAATCATAGGGAAACTATCATGGTTTGCCGGCGAGCAACCGTTTTTGCATCTTGGCGATATCCCCATAGACTTTTTGTTTTCAACTTTTCTTTTTCTTTTTTGGAAGGGCTTCATTGCTCGAGTAACCAACCTCCTGTACAAACCTCTTCTTCTTCTCTTCTCTTCTCACTCTTCTTCTTACCAATACTTGTTTCATTTTTTCTCTGTAGCCATAGTGGGCTTGACGACTTTACGATGTAGCTTATTCTGGCATAGCCTAGTTAGCAATTCTGTAGGGCAGGATTCCACATTTTTTTCTTCATTTTTACAAGCGCTTCAACCGTTGATTCTTCGGTGCCCGCTTTTTTTTCCTTCTTCACTTTTTTTTCGTGCGCGTGGTTTTTTAATTGGAACCTCTTTTTTCTTCCTTTCTGTCCTTGTCGACTCACAACTCAACACATATGGGGCCGGGCCCAACAAAAAGATTTGGAGTCAAGGGCGGTGTGTAACCATTTGTTGAGAATTTTCCATTCTATTCTGGTTTGTCGTTCTATTGCTAATACTTGTGTATTTTTGCGCTCATCATTTTCTTTCCTTTGTCTGGTTGGGTATGTGTGTATAGAAGGATTCCGGAAGTGGGCCAGTGAGGCGGTGGTGGGGGGATAGGCGTAAACGGAAAGGATATTTGGCTGGCCTCAAGGGGTTTCTTCGGCATCGGTTCCAGTTACACCAAGGGGACCAGGGGGGCCGGAGCGGGGTTTACAAGCAAAGGAAAACACGGTGTTCGAAGTCGAACCATTAGGAACAAAAAAAGCTACCAGCTTTTTTTTCCTTTCCGAATTTTCCTAATAAACCCCCGAAGAAGGCATTAAAAAACTACACTCTGATAGAAATGACAAATACGACTTATTTTCAAGCGTCAAAGGAAATCAAACAAAGATTCCTACGCTGACCATGCATATACCGCCTCTCTCTCTTCCACTCATCGCGTGCGCTGTACCTTTTGCTACCCCATGTAACCCTTTCCCGCCTCGGACCTTTGCCAAACCAATAAAGCCGGAAGAGGGGAAGCGTCCGCCATAAAGCGGGGGGGGGAGGGGGTGAGCAGAAAAGGCCCCCCAAGAAATCCATACATCAATAATACTAGCAACATCGGGAATATCACACCAAAAAAAAGGCAATTGCATCACAACCTCACATATCCTCACCCCTCCATCCCCTTGGGAGTATCGTACCTGCAAGATCTACATTCTCCCAACGCAACGATTACACCTTCATCCACCACGTGGTTACACGTGTACGTGCGGGACCCAAAAAAATCCCGCTTCCATCGCCTCATTTTTTTTCCTTCCTGTGCATCAGGACCCAGATTTAAAACGTGTATTACGCACATACACAACTAAAAAAAACACGTCCATATATATAGCGCTTAATATACCAGAAAGAAAAAAACCCGGGAGAGACAGGGAGACCGGGAGACGAAATATAACGAGTGCGTATAACGACTATACGCATTATACGCGGGTAAAGATCGATAGTAGTAGTAGTAGTAGTAGTACCGCGTTCTTTACTACGCCCCCCGCAATTATTATTTTTTTGTTCTGTGCGGCAAATTTGATAGTAATGGTGTGATTGTGCGAAAAGGGAAAAAAAAAAGGCAAATGTGATATTGCAGTGGAGAGTAGAATAGAGTAGAAGTAAGCAGGTAGGCAGGGGAAGCGTATAGGACGCGCATACGCATACGCATACGCTTCATTCTTCTTTCCGCCTCGCATGGTTTACAAAGACAGAGAGAGGGGGGGGGGAACGTACCACGGCAAGGGGGAGCATCGGAAGGGCGAGATACTGAGTAGGGGAAAAACTACAAGGCTAGCGGACGGGAAGACACAGAGAAGGGGGGGGAGGGGATGCGAACGAGGTTCCCCGCATTTTTTAACCTTGTCAGGGCGAAAAAGGGCAAGGGCAAGGGGGGATGTGTGTTTGAGGGAATTTGGATTTGGGTCTGTATGCGAAGGGGAGGGGGGGCTCGAGCAACACGAAGGGTTGTCTGGGGGATGTTTTGACATGGGGCGGGGGGAAGTAAATTATGGCGCGTTTTTTTTGAGCTTTGAGGAATGTTGGATGCGGTATTTTTTTTGACACAAGGGGGGGGCGGGACGGGAGTGTGCGGGTAAGGGAAAGAGATAGAGAGAGAATGAATACGTATTTGATATATCGATGAATTGCATATTCTTCAAGCATGCATTCTTACGTTGCATGTCGGCAAAGGGGTATTGATGTAATCGTAATGTCAGTATCGGACACACAACCCTCCCTCCACAGAAAAGAAAAAAGTACTGAACCAGAAGACAGAGACAGGAAAGCCCACTACCACCTAATGCAATTCCTCCGGAATTCCCCTGTCCACAATATCGAAAAGTGAGCTGATTTCCCCAATTCCAATAACAAGATTTTTTCTTCTCCTCACCAAAAGAAGAAGAAGAGGTAGGCTGTCGGACGATCTGGGACCCATGCTTGTGTCCCGCGCGCGCGCCCGCGTTCCCGCGCAACGCAAGTTCGAGGTTGGGACTAGGCTGGGGCGCGGGAACGACCCGGACGGACACGGGGCGCAGCGGGTAAGGTTCAAGCACGCGCGTGCGCACGCGCGGGGGTGTGTGGCAAAGAGGAGAAAAGAGAATAGCAGCGCGACAGAAAAGTGAGGTAAGCTCGACTTCCTTTTCCAGCCCGTTCAATGGCGCGCATTCTAGGCTTGCGGAGGGCGAGTCGGACGGGCGCTGGCTGGACTGGGTTCTATTTGGAAAATTTCCCTCCCCCTTTTCCCAGTTTCTTTTTACCTCGTTCAACAGATTTTTTTGGATTTGGAGTTCTACTTCTTCAACTTCCGATAGTTTGTGGTGTGTCGTGTGTCGTGTGCTTTCTCAATGGTAGTCGCGGGCGCGTGGGATACTCCGAGAATGTGGAGAGGAGGAGACAACATGCTTGCGCGCGTTTCAAGCAACCCCATGTAAACACCACGACCTCAGCACATCCAAAAAGCCAATCCAATATTGCTCCTATGGTCTATGCTCAAACTCCGCCTTCACTGATGTCGTGCGACCATGCTCGGATATACCGCGGCTGTGCTTCATGTCCATGTTCTCACCAATCGCAACACCCTGGTCCGCCCGTCTCACGTCTTCGTGCTCCTCTTTTTTGGGGGGTTTGCTCTCACTAATACTGCACCTGAAGCGCGAGGACGTCTCATCCAATCGTGAATTACTACGGAGCAAACCGCATCTTTTTTTGTATGCATGTATCCTATATTTACCGAGTCATGGCCGGCAGCAGCCGATGTCAAAGCGAGATAATCACACTTGCTTGGTCTGCGCCTTGCAGCTGCATGCCCCGCTTTCTCAGCTTCTTGCTCGGCGGGAATATGTTACACAGCATGCGCGCAATACGGAGCGCACGGTGAGCGTTGCGTGAGCGGGCGGAGGCATTAGCCGTGTTGGTAGGGATAGCGATGCAATCACCCCCTCTTGCTCTCTATCTTTCTCTCTCTTTGCTACGCGCCAGAGTTGATACAATAGTCTTGTATCTTTTCCTTCTCATTTCAGCAATTAGGCAGCATTGGCAACAAGGTGATGCTCACTGCCCAGTCTGACTGTCAGGCTCCGACCAAAGATAAAGAGAAAGAAGAAGGCTGCCTGCAATGGCATGCAGCCTTTTCGGCAACAGGGCCGGACCTCTCACAAACGTGCATACTGTAGGAATAGGCAATACAGTCTTGTGCCTTGCGTCCTGCGTGCTGCGTGACATCGGAATAGGCCCGAATAGCCCCCCATCTATGGCTACGTGTTACCGCCTGCATGGCAGCAGAGGCTGAAAATGGATGTGGCTGCACAAGAACCTTCTAAGCTTTCGGATCGGACTTGTACTACTGACCTCGATCGGTAGAGAGCATGTCGTGATAGTATGCCATAAGCTGAATTTCCATTTTGATTGCTGCTCGCAGTAGTTTCAAAGCCAAGATGGCCATGTGGCTATCTCGCTTGATGTCTTTGTGTGCCGGTGGCTCCAAGGTGCGAGATATTGGCGCTACTGAAGTGTGAGGCTGCAACACATGTACAGTCCTATTCCTATATTAGACGTCATGCCGCGATGAATGGGGCTGGATATCCACCGGTATCCAGTTGTTCTGCATGGCCATGCCGATCCACCTGCCCAAACTGCGGAGATGGACATGTGCGACATACCAAGAGTTTCGCAGTACGACAACCGAGACAGGGTGCGCCATGCGAACCTGCATGGAATCAGACGCTGAGCAACGTGGTCCCAATTGTGGGGGTTGCATATGGGCTGATAGCCGATCGCATGTCAGCATCGTGGTCCTATGGTGAGAGATTCTGGCTTTTGCAAATGCGGTAGCCTGCATGGTGCTAAATGCACGGCGTTGTCGTCTGACATTTTGCAAATACGGCTCCAACTTCCCCCACACTCGCATCAAAGATGTATGCTGTGCTGTGGAATTATAGTGGAAGTGCATATGCACAGGCAAATGCACGCAAGTACAAACCTGCTTTGTGCAAGTCTGATCATCATGACGGGACAGCTGACAGACTGCACATTGTGAGCTGGACGCAATATATGGAATCACCGCTAGCAGTAGATGCACAAGGCAGCCGTTGACAAGTTGCATATGCAACAACGTGATCAAGTTGAACCGCACAATGTGTGTAGTGGACAGCTGGTGCTGGGACTTAGTTAGTCTTGCTCTCGCTGTGACAAGCAGGCAGACCAGTAGGCAGACCGGCAGGCAGCCCAAGGCGAGAGCGCTGGTGTCGACGGTATGGCACTGACAACAGAGATCTGGCCACTGCACTAGCTGCCAACACTTAGGAAGAGTATCAAAGATGAGCCATGTGATGACTTGGACCCTATCGATCACATGCTCTCATGGTATTGAAAGACTCGACCGCAGATGTATGGGGATTGGAATGAGTAGCTGAGACAATGTGCAGCCATATAGGAAATATAAAAATCGATCCTGATATGATGGGCAAATAGGAATACCCATCTGTCTTAGCTCGGTTATAGCCGTCTTGTTGTGTTAAATAAGTCGGATTATCAGGATGGGCCGAAGAGACATGGAAGCATTGGGTTGCCAACTGCATTTTCTTCCTTTGGTGGGAGACCGAACGCATTGTTTATGCTTACATAAGCCCTGATAAGAGGATGTGTAGAAGATGGCCTCTTACCCAAGCGTTCTTCCAAGGAAAGTGTCAAGGGCAGACGGTGCGAATAGCTTGTACCACAGGCCTGTAGATTATAGCGGGTAGACGAATGATGATAGATCCTAGATTTTGGCTAGTCCAGCATGTGCTTTGTGAGATTTTTCATTTACACCAATGGGCCTCGATGCATGGTTACAGCGGCTGTCAATGACGTGTGTGGGGCAATCGAACGGTTGTTGGCGATGGCGGTCTTTCTGCTGGGCTCTTGTAAGTTAACATGTCCTTAATTGCAGATTGATGACTGTGTAGAGGGATGTGGTCTGGTGTTTGCATATGCAGTGCTTGATGAAAAGAAGGTACGGTGTTGGGAGTGGGCATCAAGGCAAACGTGGGAGAGAGCACGCGCCAAGGGCAATATGCTCCGACATCCCGACCCCGCTGGACTTTGTTTCAACACAATCTTTGTCCGCCACAATCCATCTACACTCAGTCGCAAACCCACACGCGCAACGTCAAGGCCTTGTCGCGCTGGCAATGGTGTGAGCAGAAGAGACGGACATATTCTCAGCTCCTGCTGTCCATCAACGCCATCAACATCACCCACTACCACCACCTCGAAACTTTGCATTTGGCCCCACGAATTTCCAGGCCCAACCGGGGTTGAGTGAGGCCTTGAGCGCCACACGACTTAAATTCGACTCCGGCCGAGACTACGACGAAGACGACGAAACCAACGACCACGACCACGAATATGGAGGGCGCCTTCACGCACATGGGCAACCACCTGGTGTCGGACTCGGCGGCCACAATCAACGCCGGCGACGTGGATGAGGGCATTCTGGATGGCGACCTCTCCCGCGGCCAGCTTTCGCGCAGGCGCCGCGCCGATGATGACGAAGAGTATGACGATGATGACGCTGAGAGCATGGCCAGTATGCCGGTAGGCGGCCGAGAAGGCCAGTCGGCCATGCGTGCGGAGGATGCGGAGGTTGAGCTGCCGGCCCATGCGTGTACGTAGGAAGGAAGTGGGCGGGCACGACCAAAGGCTGTACTGACTGACCGGTTGCTTTAGGCGCGTACTGTGGCATCCACAACGCCGGGAGCGTCGTCAAGTGTCTGGCCTGCAGCAAGTGGTTCTGCAGTGCCCGTGGAAACTCGTCGTCATCGCACATCATCAACCATCTGGTCCGCGCCCGCCACAAGGAAGTCCAGTTGCATCCCGCCTCTTCGCTCGGCGATACGACACTCGAGTGCTATAATTGCGGCACCAAGAATGTCTTCCTGCTCGGTTTCATCCCCGCAAAGTCGGACACGGTCGTTGTGCTGCTCTGTCGCCAGCCATGCGCCGCAATGCCCTCGCAGAAAGACATGAACTGGGACACATCGCGCTGGCAGCCCCTCATTGAAGACCGTTCCTTCCTTCCCTGGCTTGTCCCTCCCCCAACCGACCAGGAGCAGCTCCGCGCCCGTCATCTGAGTCCCCAGACTATTGCAAAGCTCGAGGAACTGTGGAAGGACGACGCCAATGCTACAATCGCCGACCTCGAAAAGGGCGCCGGTCAGGAGGAGGTCATCGCCAAGGTCTTGCTTCGATACGACGACGCCTACCAGTACCAGAATGTCTTTGGCCCCCTGGTCAAGATTGAGGCCGATTACGACCGAAAACTTAAGGAATCCCAGTCGCAGGATAACTTGGTCGTGCGCTGGGACATGGCCCTGAACAACAAGCACACGGCTAGCTTCATCCTCCCTAAGCTTGAATTAGGCGACGTCAAGCTCGCCGTCGGTGACGAGATGCGATTGCGCTACACTGGAGAGCTCCGCCCACACTGGGAAGGTGTCGGCTATGTCATCAAGATCCCCAACAACCAGTCGGACGAGGTCACCATTGAACTGCGCACCAAGGGCGACCACAAGTCAGTTCCTACCGAATGCACTCACAACTTCAGTGCCGACTATGTCTGGAAAGCTACCTCCTTTGACCGCATGCAACATGCTATGAAGACGTTTGCTATTGATGAGATGAGTGTTTCTGGCTACATCTTCCACCGTCTGCTTGGTCACGAAGTGGCAGCAGCCCCTATGAAGGTTACGATTCCCCGCAAGTTCAGCGTTCCAGGCCTTCCGGAGCTCAACAACAGTCAAAACAATGCTGTAAAGAGCGTCCTCCAGAAGCCACTCAGTCTGATTCAAGGCCCTCCTGGTACTGGAAAGACAGTTACGTCCGCCACCATCATCTACCACCTTTGCAAGATCAGCGGTAGTCAGGTCCTGGTTTGCGCACCCTCCAACGTTGCCGTCGATCAGCTGTGCGAACGTATTCACCTTACTGGACTCAAGACAGTTCGTGTAACTGCAAAGTCCAGGGAGGATGTCGAGTCTCCGGTTGGTTTCTTGTCCCTTCATGAGCAAGTTCGCATGAACGACACCAACGTCGAGCTCAACAAGCTGAACCAGCTCAAGAACGACGTAGGCGAGCTCTCAAGTCAGGACGAAAAGAAGTTTAAGCAGCTCACTCGTGCGGCTGAGCGTGAGATTCTGAATGCAGCCGACGTCATCTGCTGCACCTGCGTTGGTGCCGGTGATCCTCGTCTGTCTAAGATGAAGTTTCGCACTGTGCTTATCGACGAGTCGACACAGTCTGCAGAGCCAGAGTGCATGATTCCATTGGTCCTGGGATGCAAGCAGGTTGTGTTGGTTGGTGACCACCAGCAACTTGGACCCGTCATCATGAACAAGAAGGCTGCAACAGCTGGTCTCAACCAATCTTTGTTTGAGCGTCTCGTCATTCTTGGATGCTCTCCCATCCGACTCCAGGTCCAGTACCGTATGCACCCGTGTCTTTCCGAGTTCCCATCCAACATGTTCTACGAAGGCTCTCTCCAGAATGGCGTCACGATGCAAGAACGTATCCGCCGCGATGTCGACTTCCCCTGGCCAGTTGTTGATAGTCCAATGATGTTCTGGTCAAACCTTGGTGCTGAGGAAATCTCGGCTTCTGGAACTTCCTACCTCAACCGGACCGAAGCCCAGAATGTCGAAAAGATTGTGACCCGCTTCTTTAAGGCAGGCGTTCAGCCTAGCGACATTGGTATCATCACTCCATACGAGGGCCAGCGCAGTTACGTTGTCAGCTCCATGCAGGCAACTGGCAGCTTCAAGAAGGAGAACTACAAGGAGGTTGAGGTTGCATCCGTCGACGCTTTCCAGGGTCGTGAGAAAGACTTCATCATCTTGTCCTGTGTACGTTCCAACGATCACCAGGGTATTGGTTTCTTGAGTGATCCTCGTCGTCTCAACGTCGCCCTCACTCGTGCCAAGTATGGTCTCGTCATTCTTGGTAACCCCAAGGTCTTATCCAAGCACCCACTGTGGCACTATCTTCTTCTTCATTTCAAGGAGCGCAACTGCCTCGTCGAAGGTCCCTTGACCAACCTACAGGTGTCGCTTCTCCAATTCAGCCGCCCCAAGCAGACATATCGCGGGCCTCAACGCTACCAGATGGCCTACCAGCACGCCAACGCCATGACCTCTGGTCGCCAGCCAGGCTTCAATGGCAACAAACCTCGTCAGGAGTACAATGACAATGGCTCCATTGTGGGCTACATCCCAGATGATGTCTCTTCTGTCCACTCTTCTGCACTTGGTGGTGTTGGTGTTCCTTCCAACTATCCCCCCATGTTCTCCAACTTCCAAGAGTCATGGCCCCTACCTGGCCGTCCTAACGGAAAGGGCAAGAATGGCGCGCCCCAAAGCGTTGCTGGTGAATCCATTGCAGCTAGCGAGCTCACAGACACCCGTAGCGATGCGCCTGGCGGTATCAGTCTTTCTGGTCTGAGTCTGAACGACTACAACAAGCCCACCTCACTCAGCCAGTCAGACCGACTTAACCGCTTTGTGGAATCAACTCGCCAGGGTCCGAACGTCGGTACTGGCTTTGGTGCTGGTCGTGGGTTGCGAGGTGCACTTGGCGGCTTTGAAGATGATGACGCTCGCAGTGTCTCCACTGCTTTTGCCAGTCAGATTGGCACCGGTAATGGCTATGACTGATCACGCCTTTCTGATATAGTGGTAACATACCCTACTACTCTTACACGTTTTGGCTGCGAGCCTCTCTCTTTCACCCGATTAAGCAACAGACCGGATTTATCACCGGCCGTCCGACCTAGGACATGCTCTGTCGGCAGAATCAGAGCAGGCGACCGCCAGTGCGTTGGCACTGATATTGATATTAGGTCCAGTCCGTACTGCAGCTTGTGTCGGCTCCTCCAGACAGCATACCGCCATACCTGCGGCAATCCGTCGCCAGCACGTAACCGCAACTCAACCACATGTGAGCTTGAAATCTGCCGTACCTCCCAGATTAAGCCCATATGGGTGATGCGTCAAGATGAAGTGCGCAAGGGAGTAAGCCCAACTGCAGCCTGGAAGAGCTGAGTATCAAGCACACAAGACTTGAGCATTTCTTTTTACCATTTCTCACATTCCTTGTTTTTATCACCTCCATGTAGGTGTGGTTGACTTTTTATACAAATGCTACGAAGAAAAAAGGTGAGGGGAAAATCATACTCCAGTTTAGTTTTTTAAGTTTGAGAAGAGAATTTAAACCATGCTTGTTTCGAAGTGTGTCTGGGGTTCCATCATTGATATACGTGACTGTGTTGGCTGTCGCGGTGAACTATTGCCCCTCTTCGACCCCCCTTTTTTTTACATCAGCACAAGGCTCGATAACTGTGGATTACCTTGTTGATCTGAAGTTTTGCATTTCTATCAATACGCCTACCACTAACCAAGCTCACTATTTTCCTTCTCACGTACACATATGTAAACTTTTCTAAAACAAAATCCCTCTAAAACAACGAAGTGGGAAGTTGAAACGAACGCCTCGTATGGACTAAGCCTATTCCATTTCTTCTCATCTTTCCAACTACATGGGATGTGAAGCATAATCAAATACGACTTCAATTTTCCTTGTCATCTCACAAAAGTTCACCCTAGTCTCCTTCTCACAAAGTGAGAAATATGGTCCTCCGCTGCACTCGTTAAGTAAATAAAGAGATTTGTACGAATTAGTTCTGTGCTTGCTATCGAAAAGAGAGAAAGATAGAAAGAAAATTGGAGGGAAATGGAAGCGAGAAAAGCGGAGAAAGAGTGTTGGGGCGTGTAGGTAAAACTTGTACACTACTCATACTTCACTATCCTTTTTTTTTCTCCTACGAGAAAAAGGGGAACAGAGTTGATTTGACGGAAGGAAGAAAAGACGAGAAAAGACGGGTTGTGTCATAATAGACAATGATCATGAATAATAATAATAATAATAAAAACTAACTCATATAAATACGGCGTGATATCCCATCCCTCATACCAAACCAACCAACTAAAAGAAAAAATAATTATATACGTGGAGAAAGAGTCCCCTAACAGGTCTCCGTCTGACATGAAAGCTTTACGCTACCCCTACCCACGTATGACAACGTCTTTTGGGTATCACACACTCTTTCTTTTCGCTTTATACAAATTCTCTCCAATTCCCGTTCTCTTATTCCAACTTTTTTTATCTTTCTCTTTATCTCTTCATTTTTCTGGATCATATACATCTTTGTAACAAATATGAAAACGTATATAGCTCCCAATCAGAAGCAACAAACCTCCGCCACACGCGTGCCTTACATAACAGTACAGCACTTGAGCATCTTGAGCAACTTGGGTAGCCCCTTCTTGACCATCTGCTCGATCTCGTCGTTTTGGTTTTGCTGCTGATCATGCTGTTGCTGGTGTTGACCGCCATGGTGTTGGGGCGGGGCACCACCGTGGTGCTGCTGGTGTCCGGGGTATCCAGCCGAGGGCGCATGCGGAGGCGGGGGCATTTCGTCGACGCTGCCGCCCTGGAGGTTGACGAAGATTCTACCTTCGTTTTCCTCGGTGCGGTACTGCAGCCCCAGCTCGCGGCATACTTGCTCGACTCGCGGTTTGATCTTTTGCACGTGGTTCTTGCTGTGGTTGCCCTTGCCGACGATGACGTGTAGGTGGGTCTGGCCTTGTTGTCTGGCGACCTTGATTCTTTCCTCGAGCACGTCCTCTGCTTCTTCTACGAAGAGACCGTGAAGGTCAATTGTGTCGCTGTCAACGCGCCCTTCGGCATTGTTTTCCCGGAAGATAAAGTCGCGTGCCTGGCGGTTGTATTGCTCCATCTTTTCCGCGTGCTTCTTTCCTTCCTGTGAGAGCTCGTGGGCGGCAGCGCCATCGCCGGACTCGTACGCTTGGTGCGCACGGTCGAAACATGAGGAGCGTTTGGCGGCTTCTTGACGGGCGAGGTCGCGAAGGCGGTCATATTCAGCTTCCGCATCCGCGGAGGAGTGGTTGAGAGCTGGGCGTGTTTGTTAGTTGTTGTCGCAATTGCGGATGGGCGCGATCAAGAACATGGGGGGTTGGGTACGTACAGCGTGAGCCCAAAGCGGTCATTTGTATGGCTGTCATCTTGTCGCGATACCGAATATGTCAACTGGAAAGGGATGCAATGGATTAACACTGAGTTATTGTTGTTCTTGAGCGATGCACTTGGCGGAATCAAGGTACATAATAAGACGGGGCTCAATGACGCTAAGCGGCTGCTTGCAGGATGCGAGATGGGCGCAGGGTCCAGTTCTGTGGCTCAGCGGTGAAGATGGATCAGGGCTGCCGTGTGAGCCACGTGGTGTGCACGTAAATACGTGTTCGGCGCAAAGTGCGTAGCGCCATGGATCTTGACTGAAATTTTGGCCAAGCTCATGCGTGACACGCTGTCATTGGTGCTGATGGTGATGTTGGCGCGCCCATGTGAGCTATGTGCCACGCCCACCGCCCCTCATCCTCGCGAAACATTCGTGACATGAATGGAAGTCCAATCGTTCTTTTCTGACAGCATCGCTACCCGCAAGGGCGGTTTCAGAAACGGACCTTGGGCCCTACGAATACAATTAGGAATGCGATCAACCATAGGCCAGCAATCATGCCATAGAGCCTCATTCTATCCCACCAACCCTTGCCTTCAGTCATCTTCCGTAGCGTGCCCATCCTCCTACTAGCAGCATCCATATTCAACGTGTTCTTGTCTAGCCCAGCCAATGCTCGATCTACCACACTCTTGTCGCCCTCGAGCGTGTTTGAAAAATTTATCGATTGTTGCTTCAACAGCTTGGCCATATCGAGGAGGCTTGTTGTGAGCGTTTCCTGTTCATTCCTTTGGTACGATAGGAGAGCCTCTGTCTGCGCATGGGTTGGGTCGCCTGTCGTCGTTGTGGGTTTCGAAGGGAAAAGAGAATTGCCAGATGCTGCTTGTGCCCCAGACTCGGCTCCGTCAGCCTCTGGCTTGCCTCTCCGCCGCAGTTCTGACGCCAATCCCTGCGCAGCATTTTGGAGTGCTTCGTTGTTTCCTCCTGACGTTGTGATATCCCGTCCAGCCTCTGTCTTCACTCTTGGCGCATATGAAGGAAATTCATCTGCGTCTTCTTGATCGGAATCTACAGACCCATCCGACTCTGTATCATCTAGCTGGTTCAATTCGTATATCCGCTGATTTAGTTGCTTTATGAGCTCGCGTTTTTGCTGCAGATCGGTTTGTAGCTCGGATTTCTTGGACTTGGAGGGTATTGTCGAGGCCGAGTGCTCAAGGTTGAGGAGTAACGTGCGCGCATGTTCGATATTCTGGGGAGTATCAGTAAGCCATTTCTATAGATGTGGTCCATGTGTTTTAACCTACTGCGCTTACGCGTGCCCGCTCATAACTGGACTTTCGTAGCTCTGGTGACGGATCTGCCAATACTATGCGCTCTAGCCTCGAGAGCAGACGATTAAGGTTGATACTGGTAACATCGCCAAATCCTGGAGAGCGAGGTCTGGCAGTCATCGCTTGCTTTGCTATAGCGTCGTTGGATTGCTGGCGCGACGCGACCTGGTATAAATGACGAAGTGATGTGCGTAGCGGGCACCGAGGCTAGGAAGTAGTAGTTGCGCAAGTTTTCAGGATTGCAGTTACGAATCCAGCGTACTATAGCAGCAGCGGAACAGATCAGGCAACAGCAAGTAGGACGAAAGGTGGTAATGAAGAAAGGTGTTCGTTCATGGATATTTGGTGCATGTAGCCACAACGTCACTTTCACAACAACCAATAGCAACTTGGTGGGCCTTCCCCGCACTGGCCCACGCTCGGCCGCAGCCCACATCTCAGATCTCACGTATCATCACATGTATCAATTCAATCCCTAGGCTCATTTGTATGTTGTTTGTCTTTGAATTTACATCATACTGGTATAATACATGTTTGCGAGAACGCTATGTCGCATCATTTTTGATCTTCTGCTCTTTGAGCAAACCATGTTTGCCTTCTGGCCCCTGGCTTCATAAACACTCATCTCATCTCGTTGCCATGTCACACACTGAAACAAGCAAAAACTTATGATGATCCGCCCTTCGATTGCTGCGACTGTGTAGTGGGTTGAAGAGGTCCACGGGTGAAGCTGAGAACAATTAGTATTGCATTTGGAAGCACTCGATGAGTTGAGAATCATACTTGTTCCACCAAGTACCGATGATGCCGGGCTTTCCATATGCATCATGGAAGGATTGTCTCCGAGCCAGGCTCTCCTCATCCTGACGACGCTTAAGAGCCTCTAGGTTTCCAAATCTCTGGGCTGCCGAAGACTACACAATGTCAGTCACGGCTGCTCAATCAGCCAAGTATTCAACGTACCCTTCGGCGTCCATTGTAGAAAGACTCAGATCCGACAGAGGCATCAGACGCTCGGCGGTCGTTGTTTTGCTTTGGGGCTTCAGGCATGGTTGGGGTGGCATCATTGCCAAAGACCTTGTTGATTGGAGAAGACATGTGTGATATTTGATATGAATAGAAATCGTATGTAGATTTGAAATTGGACTGGGATGTGGTGATTGAGAGTAGATTGCAAATATGAGTTATTTTGAAGATGGGAATGCAAACTGCTGATAAATACCCCCTCAGTTCCATACTGTCGAGCACACGATCGCATGTGGCATGACCATTACGCAGACGATACATGATCGTACCAATCAGTGAGGGTCTAGCCCTCCCCCGCATTTTGACAGTGCAGTTTGGACCCTGAACGTCTGTAACGATGACATGAATGGCAAGCAAACGGCGCTATGCTGCACTTGCTTCTGCTGGCCAAATCTAATCAGAGTTCTGCAGCGAATCATATTCTGCTGATTTATCCACACTTGACGCGGCTCGATGATCTAAAGCGTGGATGCTAGCCAGACCGTTTGTTTACACGTGACATCGATCTTGGACGATAGTCGAGGCGTCGAAGACGGCGTGCAGGGTCCATCAACCTCAATGACAGATTCGGCTCTGTCCATCCTAAGGGGTATTGAGGCGCAGTCGGGGAAGGGGTATCGATCGCACTAGTTTTTGTAAGCAGATCGCGCCGCTCGTCATGGACCGACCGCTATTAGGTACGCCTATCGATCTTTGGGTAGTACAACAACGGGGGATTCGACCATGTGTTTGAAGTAAAGCTACTGGGACCCTTTCCTGGATGCACAACGCTGTAGGCACGCTATGACACCATCGAGAAGCTTCCACCGACGGCATTCAGCCGAGCTTTGCACGGGCGCAGGTGCCGTATCTCGGTATCGTTGATGTCATGTGTTTGGAAATTGTCGTTGATTTCGTAGTAAGTATGGCCAGTGCCGGCGGACATGGCTTGTGGTTAAGGAATTGCAAGTCGGCGGCTGAGTGAAGAATAACGCCGTCTGCGTCTGTTGCTCTGAGAGCCCTGACGTCAGTGGCTGACAAATAAGCGCGCGTTACCGCTTTTGCTAAGCGAGGGACAATGTCTTTCGCGCTCGCACAGCAGAGCAATCTCTTCCTCAACCCTCAAGCAAGGTAACCTTGGGGCAGACTTCCGCGAATTCTGCCGGACTCGACACAGCGTTGAGCCGTCGACCTCGTATTTCTGGCATGTGCAGCGGTTGCCGCTTTTTAGAGTTTTGCCGCCTCCAGCCGTTAACAGGTTGCGTGCTGTCTCCTGAGAGAGACGCATTTGCAACGATAGCTACTGATGCAGATCTTTCGGATACACAACAGCCGGGCCGATGAGGAATATTTTTCTAGCCGCCGCACGTGTCACGACTTGCCCTCCGCCCTTTAATGCGCCATCCGACACATGCTGCGCAAACTGTCTTGGTGCGACTCAAATCACACTGCCTCGACATTGGCATCAGATCAAGTTTTGTGGTGCAGTCTCGCTGCAGCTTTGCAGCAACGATGGCATTGGCCAGCAAAGGTACGTGACACTTGTCAACAATTCCATCCCCTTGCATGATGATACCACATTTTTAAAGCATAGTTCATCTTAGTCCAAAGGACACTGAGGAACCAAATAGCATTGTCTTTCGCTCCTATCTGATCACAGCCACCATCCCAACTTGTGCCATTGGCCGCTTGCTGTTACAACATGTTCTGACTCTGAATAGACTTCTCTGCGAACGAGCCACGTTGCCTTGAGCACTGTGCTATAGGTCAAGGAGGGTGGCCGGCGTTTGCCAATGAGGGCGTGGTATGAAGAACTGACGGTATATCACGGCTGCATGCTGTTGTACGCTGGGCATGGTTTCCCTTGGACCAGTGGCCGCCGCCTACGTCTGCATCACATGATGATTTTGGTCGTTTGCTCAGGTCAGGCGGACGTAAGTGTGCATAGATATGTATGTACAGTGTGCGTACATACATATAGTATGACGGTAAGTATGCATGCAGGTGTTCAAGTAAGTATATGTGTGTGTGTGTGTATGTTGTGAAGCATGGCCAGTTGGCCGCTGTGTGCACAGAGTGCAATTGCAACTGCAATATCATGGACGGCCAGGGGAAATGAAATTTGGCGGACTGGTGTGCCGGGCCCTGCGGATGGGGCGGAATGAAGGGAGCACCCAGCCGGTATCCCGCAGGCCTGTGGCATATCAATAGAAAAACGACGGTTGGCATTATTGCGCCAGCGCTCGTGTTGCCGCATTTTCCGCAAAGCTCAGCCCGCCGATGCTTTGTTTTTCTTTCTTTCTGAAATGGTTCGCAAGCATGGCCTCGGCACAGTTCAGGCAGTTCAGGTTTTGTGGTTGTTGATCGCAGAGCTAGACGAGGGGTGCATCCACATTGTGTGCGCGTTCGGCTGGCGGGTTCCCTGAATTTGCAGGTGTGACGGTGGTATCGCGTCGTCCCTCCGGCCACGCGGTTGGCTGCCACCCGTGATGATCACTGCTCCCTCTGTAATCCCCGACGGGCCCCTGGCGGCATTTCAATTTACCATCCCCTATTGCGACCCGCGAGCGACAGGAGCAGAGTATTACGCCGACACGGAAGCCCGTCCAGCGCTTGTGAATCGCGAGAGCGGCCAAGGGTGACTCGTGAACCGAGCGCAAAGTCTGTGACGTTAGCGCTTGACTCGGAGTGATAAGAAGTGCATCTCTCCCAACCCGGCCACGCACGCAAATTCATCCCATTGGCTTCCAAACCGCCGAAGACATTTGCTCGCGGCACTTGTGTGTGGGGCCTTCTCCTATGCGTTGGCACTCAAACCAAGCCACCATCCCGTCAGCAACCCAAGTCCGCGCCTGCATATTCTCAGCTCTCTCGCTTCCTTCTTTCCTCCTCAACACCACAGCTTTTACTCTCAACCACTGCCATCGCGCTGCAAACAAGCTACATTAGCAATCTTTCTTTGCGACGTTTGCTTGATCTGTCCAATACGATACATACACCATCAAAAAAACAAGAGCCCTTGCTCAGGATGACAATTCGGAGCCCAGACGGAGCCCTATCCAGGTACTTACTGCCCAACGGTTTTCTCCCCCAACTTGTTTTGCTTTGACCTTCCCCTTTTTCCTTTCAGTCTTACCGTTTTGCTACCGCCTGTCTTGTTACAATCATGTGTTTCTTTCCTACTGTTTTGACTCTTCTTCTCTTTTTGTTCGCCGCCACTACAGCCCCAGATGGATCTCCCAAAGGATGCCACAGGATACCTTCCATAGGATTTACCGCCCCGGTAAAGGACAACCACAAGGCCACTTTTCTTCAGTTCTACCAGGACCACATTTTCCCCAAGGACAATCTTCCCAAGATACGAGACACGTAGCACACTGCCCTTGCAGTGTTTGTAGAAACGACAATCACGAGGCCTCGATGCCCCCGATTCAGAGCTAAAATGCAGAGCTCTCGAAACGGCGGTGAACATACGAGAGTGGATCCTCGCTATTGATGCCCAACACCACACTGGATCAAAATTCTTGTGCGACAAACGGCATGCAACCCTGCATCGCCGTCAGGATTACGTAGGCACCTTCCGACAATGTCGTTCTTCTCTGTTGCTGTTCAACTAGGCTAAACGACAGACTACTGGTAATAAGGAGTGTACGCTTTCCCAAAGGACGCCAAGCCATGGAACATGTACCAAGGATCGCCCCATGGAACACGTGACTTTTATGTAAGATCACGTGCCGGGCCATATCCTGGATGCGCTAGCCCAGACCGGCCACGGTCATGGGTATGGAGATTCTTTGGTCGGACATGAAGTACGTACATGGGCTAGAGTCTGCCTATCCTTACCGACCCATTAATCGAAAACCAACTTGAGTGTGGTCAAAGGAGCACCTGTTGTTCTGGATGAGCTGCCCTGTTTTTCTGTGAACTGCTTCTACTGGATCTGGACACCTGCTAAGTACTCGACCTGGGAATATCATGTTACTGGTCAAATCACTCTGGACCCAACATGGATACGTCAACCTGGACATGCTATGGCCAATGATGCTGACCCTACTGGCTCCTTGAGGTGCGTGCTCACCACCATGTCTCCCGTCTACTGATCTTTGCTAACGTGAAGCTTTGCACAGGTTTCCTTCTGGCTACTGTACTAACATGGCGTTTTCCTTTGTCTTCAATTGTTCTTTTATCATTCAGGTTTGCCGTGAACGTGTGTTTGGTACTGACTCTGGCGTCCAGCGACTCTTTCTTCGATTCACCACCGGAGCCCGCATTCTACATCTCAAACATCACTGAGTGGAGAAAGGAGATCCCTGCACCTGTTGTTTCCGCACCGGACTTTCCTTTCTCTTCAGATTTCCAGGACATGAGCACATCAGACTTCTTTGAACTGAAGGATACTGTTTCTGAGTGCAGCATGGACAGCGCATACCAGAGCCAGAGCGGCGCCAGCCGGCGCGGACCCAGGAAGCCAGAGATGAACCGCCAGGAGAGCCAGATGAGCAGTCACTTTGTTGGCAGCGACATTTACTCACCGACAATGAGCTCGGACAACTTCAGTGCTTTCCCGGACACCCTGGACATGAGCCACGTGCAACAAACATCCACTTCCGGATCATGGGAACCCACGGAGGGTCCCCTCGCTTATGCTAATTACTCTACTGCTCAGGACTACACCCAGTACACAACATCGAACATGACACGATTCACACCCTCCTCCATCAGCGGCTCGCCGCACTGGCCAAGTGCCGATGCCCAGTTCCAGAACAACACTTTCCCATTCTCGTCATGGCCATCACACAACACCAACGATGCCATGTTCAGCACCCCCACTTCTCAGCGCAACTGGCAGAATGCTTCCCTCGATGCCTCTGAGCGCCCTGCTGCTGCACGCTACTCATCATACGGCTTCCAGCAGGAGTCCAGGCGAGCATCTACACAGGACTCGACCTTTGGTGCATTCGTCGCTACCCCTACTAGCACCACCAGTGTACACTTCCCTACGGTCGACCTTGACCAGTCAAGACTTGCCGAGTCTCGGTAGATATCCTTTTCCTCTCATCAAGTATGTTCGCTAACGCCTTTGAAAGCAATGAGAACGAGGACATTAAGGCAGCATCTGCACCTCAGTCGCTCGACGGACATGAAGACACACTCTCTCAGTCTGAGGCCGCTGACACCAAGCTCGAGGAGGAGCGCACAAAGGTTGCCCGCAGCCACCCACTATACCAACAAACGCCAGACAAGGATGGCAAGTACCACTGCCCCGAGGAGGGCAAGGCCGGATGCAGCCACAAGCCAACTGCTTTGAAGTGCAACTACGAGTACGTTCCCTGCCATCTGTCCTACTATATGATATGTGTCTAAACTGTTTCTAGCAAGTACGTCGACTCTCACCTCAAGCCTTTCCGTTGCAACAAGAAGACCTGCGTTGGTGTGCAGTTCTCCTCTACTGCATGCCTTCTCCGCCACGAGCGCGAGGCACACGGTATGCACGGTCACGGCGCCCGGCCACACCTGTGCCACTTCAGGGACTGCGAGAGAGCTGTGCCTGGTCACGGCTTCCCTCGTCGCTACAACCTCTTTGACCACATGAAGCGAGTGCACCAGTACGATGGGCCCACCACTGAGCCCTCGCCACCTGTGCAGGGACAAGCTACTCGCAAGTCTTCGTCGCGCAAGCGCAAGGCGTCTGCCGAGGAGTCTGGAGAGAAGCGTGCCAAGGTTGTGAAGCTCACTGCTGAGCAACAGCGCCAGCAACGTCGCGAGGCGCTCTCTAAGGAGTTCCTTGCCAAGAAGCAGCACATCATCGAGGTGCTCACCAACCTGAGCAACCCAAGCGACCTCGGTGACGATATCCAGCTGACAAAGGAGGTTGTCGGCCTCCACGACATTTGCACTCAGTACCGAGATGTCTTCGGTGGCTGAAGGAAGGATACGTCTGGTAGAGTCGGTCTGCCGTGACGCACCCAAGTAGGTTTGTCGTTTACCCAAGGACCCCTCTGCTATTGCTCTTTTTTCAACACATGCACTTTTGCGTTTTTGCTTTTCCGCGTTCTTCAAAAGCCGGATGGGATTCCCGCATGCCTAGCGGATGAAGGATCAAGACTTGCCACAAGTCTCTGGATGCCCATGACCCTGGATGGATGAACATTGCCGGATACAAGCCGCAGGATGCATAAAGCCCAAGGATTTTGTCCCAGCCGTGGACTCGGAAGCCGAAGGATTGCTGGTCTGCCGTTAAGGTGACAGCTGAGAACCCCCTTGAGGGGAGATGGACTGTGGTCCTTACTCATTGCAATATGGTTGGCATGAGTCTTGGTCGATGTGCGAGATTTGATTAATCTGATGTTAACGGAGGAGCCTGTCATCAGGCTGTAGTTTTTTGTACTTTCTTGTTACTGTATTTACGGCGTCGAAATGGCATCTAGACTAGGATCGGGAAGGGAGGAGGCGACCATTCAGAGAGGTCAGTCTTGTATTGGCCATCATTGCCCGCTCTGCGGAAGTTGGTGGCCCCTCCTCCTCTTGTGCTCTGTATATTTAATAGAGGGGCGTTTGTTTGTTTAATCCTCATCCACTGCACATGAGTTGTGAGAGCGAAGCTTCAGTGTGCTGTATCCTAATGCGTGAACCTCAGTCTCTCACCGGATGAGTGTGCCCCTCCAGTGCCCCTCCCCTCTCCCCACATGCATGCAGCGCACGCAGTCGGACCGAATCCCAGCTTATCGCCCAGCAAGGTTTTTGTCCAAGGCTCGGCCCTAATGCAGCAATCAATCACCAGCCCTCCCTACGTCATTCACTCCGCGCCAGGATCAAAGTTGCACGACCAAATTATCACGCCTTCTTTTTAGTCCGTTACATGCATGCATACCGCTTGTTTACATAGCTTCCATACTACGCACGTAAAAACTATGTAGCCAGCCCTTGCAACCAGCAAGCCGAGTCAGCCAACATTGCGAGACTCGCACGTACGCACGTACTACATCGAGAGAGAGACGGAGAGTCAGTCAGGTCTGCTCCATTTTCCCTCTTCCCTAGCCGATAATACCTCGGCCGACTTATTCTTCTTTTTTTTGGACGGGGGGTAAGCGCCATCGCAGTGTTCCGTCACGCACACACCCCCAATACCGTGCGTGTTGCGTGCTTGTTTAAACCGTCCGAACGGGTCATTTGGAGGAATCACCCACCTTTTTTTTGTCAGCCCAGAAGGGTCCGGACCGCCGCCATCAGCAGTTCGATTCAGCTCCCTCCACCCCCGGAAGTCAGTGGTGATTACAGTGCAGGTTTTGGAATAGCGAAAAGTAACAGTATGGTGGTGTTGGGAAGGATGCCCGAGGGTGGTGCGGCTGGTATGGCGGCGACGGCGGCGGGGATGTCACATGTCCGGTGGATGTGGTGGTGCAGAGCGGCGGCGGCAGCGGGTGGAGTGGGATTAGGAATCCGGCGAGGGGCGAGAAGCTTGAGCACTGCCCCGCGTCGTGAGCTTGTTGCGAGCGAGCCCGGCTTATTAACCTTGCATCATCGGCCTGCTGCTACCTCTACAGCTAACTCTACTGCGACGACTTTTGCTGCACCACGTATCGGCGCTGTACGATTGCTTGAGATTTACGACAAGAGAAGTAGTATTGCTGCTAAGAGCTGGACGAGAAGAGAATACGCGACCATGGCTTCTGCGACGAGCTTTTACGAGTTTAAGCCCAAGGATAGTGAGTTGCCCTCTGTCTCTCCCTCTCTGCTATTTTACCTCGATGGAGATGAGAAATAGACCTCTTTCGTCACTGCGAAAATAGACACAATCTCCTCTTTCCTCCCTTGCCCTTCCGCCCTCTCCCCTCACGCTCACGCCACCCTCCCCCTCAAGGCTCTTCCCCTAAAAAAGAGACTAACAACGACAACCCACAGAAAAGGGCCAACCCTACGACCTCTCCCAACTCTCCAACAAAGTCGTCCTCGTTGTAAACACGGCCTCCAAGTGCGGCTTCACCCCTCAATTCGAAGGCCTCGAGAAACTCTACAAGGACATCAAGTCCAAATACCCGGATGACTTTGAGATTCTTGGTTTCCCTTGCAACCAGTTCGGCGGTCAGGATCCCGGAACAAATGAGGAGATTCAGGAGTTTTGCCAGGTGAATTATGGTGTTAGTTTTCCGGTGCTGGGAAAGATTGATGTATGTACTCCCCTCGTTCCTTCCCCTCTCCTTCATGGTGCCGCTACCGTATTTGCTTGTCACGCGTAGACATGGGAAAAACCGAATACGCTGGAGACGGTTTGGCTGATATTTATATGAATAGGTCAACGGCGCAACCGCAGACCCCGCCTTCGAATGGCTCAAGAACGAAAAGCCCGGCCTCATGGGCCTCAAGCGTGTCAAGTGGAACTTTGAAAAGTTCCTCATTGGCCGCGATGGAAAGGTCAAGGGACGCTGGGCGAGTACCAAGAAGCCCGAGGATCTCAAGGCCGAGATCGAGAAGGAGTTGAGTAAGAAATAAAGTCTTTTTTGTGGGTGATATGGAAGGGAAATGGTAGAGGAAGAAGAGAGAGAGAGAGAAGGAGGCATTGATACCACGAAATATGCAACATTAAAGGGAAATTAGAATGAATACTTAATTGTTGGATTTGGAGGTTTTTTGTTTTCATGAATATGTCTATGCTAAGGTGATATGCCGTCTGTATCTTTCTTTCTTTCTTTCTTTCTTTTGGGTATTCGTATCAACACAAAAAAAAACGCCAGTCTACTTGATGCCATATACAAGTCTCTCAATCAAACGGCACTCTCCTCAAGCCCCTCACACCACCTTTCCTTGCCTCGCCCTCTGCTCCTACAGCCGCTGGTACACGAATACCACAGCAGTCGCCCCAACCCACACTCGCATGCACATGTCTCTTGCCAGCCTCATCATCAAACACCTGTACCTCGCCTCCCTCGGCGCCCTCGTCTTCCTTCTCCTTATCCGCCTCATCCTCCACACTCATGCCCTCAACGGCAGGCACCAAGCTGCCAAACAAAAAATGCTGCATAACCGGCAACTTTTCGAGAATTTCCTTGCGAAACATTTTGCGCATGCCGGCCTCAATCTTAGCCCAATTCTTGGCCGAGGAAATATCGTCCAGCATAGGGGAATGCCAGCGCAGTCCCTCGACATTCTTGACGCTATTCACAAAGGCAATTTGGTCAAGGTACAGAAACTCCTTGCCTTCCTCCTCCAGCACCAGCGCGTTGTGGATGGATTTCGGCGTGATGTACGGATGGTGCAGGAGCTGTGCTGCGCCGAAGAGGAAGGGCAGGAATTGGTAGTCGTCGAGGCCCCAGACGCCGTGGGAGCCGGCGGGTTCGAGGTAGTATGCTTCTTGAACGCGGCGCATGAGGCGCAGGTATGCAGGGAGGACGACGAGGGCTAAGGCGGGGAAGGTAGCTGGGGGCAGGTAGCCCAGGCGATTGAGGCACAGGAGCCAGAGGAAGAAGTTGAGTTCGTGTCCTGAACCGTAGTCGATGCGTTGGCGGTTGCCAAAGGAGTGGCGGAGGTACGTTGATACTTCATCGATTTGCGCGGCGTCGTGTAGACCGAGTTGCTCGTGCCAGGCCGGCAGTGCCTTTTCGAGCTCGTCGAGGAAAGAGCGGAACATGGGGTTTCCGAAGCGCGAGCCCGTGTCTTCAGGCGGGCATATTGAGAGGATTTCTTCGGCGGAGCGCAGGATCGAGACGATGGTTTTGATGGTTGTGCTTGCTTCGGAGCCGTCGCGCACGCTCGATATGCTTCTATCGCGGACGGCGTCGGCGATGCCGAAGATGAAGGCTTCAACGAGCGTGCATGTTTCGCTGTGCAGGAAGAGCTCGTGGTCTTGTGGACTGAGGATGCGGCGCGACGGATGGATGTATGTGTGCTGCGCTAGGTTTGGGGGCGCGGGGAGCGAGGGTGTCGGCGGGGGAGGGGCAGAAGGCGGTTCTCGCGTCGTGGGGGCGCGTCTGCGTGGAATGAGTTTGGGGAGTTTGGCACTGAGATCGGGCGGTGCGGCGGGTTGTGTTTGTGTCATGGTGCTGTAGTGAGTATGTTCAGGTTGAAGATATGTGCTTGTACTATGATGCTGATGTATCCAAGGTAGAGGAGAGGAGCGGGTCAGGGCGCCACCCTACGCCGTTGCGATGCCACACCAAGGGTTTGACATTTACTGCAGGGCAGTGTATCGAAACTTCGCGAACGTTGTCTGATGGCTAGCGTATGCGCTGTTGCCTCTATTACCCTTCAATCATACCACTCTTTTGCATCCCATGCTTATCCTCACGTGAGAATAGAGACATGCTATATCTTCGTCTTGTATCCCCGTTGGGCCTATCAAGTCTTTAAACAACCTTTATCTTTATCTAGATTTCTTCTAGAATCTTATATTGTCAACCCCTTTTTTCAATAGTAAAGTCTACCTTGATTTCCTAAAAACACTCTTTTGTGATCCTCTGACCCGACATCTTGCTCACTCGACACGATAGAAAAAATACCCCGGAGATGGACCAAGCTTTGGATTTTTGAAAAACAGAAAGACAGCAAGACTTCTCAGTCTGCACCGGTATGGAAACGCCATGGATAACGCCCTTCTAATAGATTTGCCAACGGGTAACCCAACAATGCTCTTTCTCGTCAAATGCTGCATACCGCCGCCTTTGCTTTACCGCCTAGTAGATAAAAGAGATATAGAAAAAAAAATAAGTAGTCTATCGAGCGAATTTCCTAGTTGCAAAACAATGCCTGAAGATGCAAAAAACGTCGCGGCCAAGATTCAAGAAACCGGTCAAAGGTCCGATAAGCGAATGACCTTGTTGTGAAGCCAAGAAAAAGGAGGATCAAAAGGAAGTATAGGTGGAAGTGCAACTGCTGAATCCATGATACAGCCGCCCTTTCTTTTTCTTAAGACGCCAATAGAAGAAAACAAAGAGCCTCCCCTTCTAATCGTCCAACTCGCTAGGAGCCTCTTCAAGTTTATGCCTCCGCTCCTCATCCATTTCCTTATACGAAGCCCAAGACAAGAGACTAAAAGCCCCAATGATTAAAAGACCGCCGACAATAGCGGCGGGCGTAAGTGGCGAGTTGAGTGGCGGAGGAAGCAACTGGTCGACTAGCGCAACGATAAAAATAGTAAGAAGTGCCGCGACCGAAGAGAGGACGGGCGATGTAAGGGAAATGAGGGCGAGAAAAGAGCCAGAGAAGGCTAGAGTTGTAAAAGTTAGCAAATATGTCTGGAAAAGCTGGAACAAAGGAAAAGAGAAGGAGACGTACTGGCATTTGCCAAAACACTAATAGCCATCATCCATGCTTGCTCTCCCTTGGGCAGCTCGAATATTTCCCAGCCCATCCAGTGGAGCAATGGTAATGGAATCCACAGCACACTCAAGGTAAATGCGCCAATCAAGCTGCCAAACAGATTTGCAAAGATGACGCCTTTGTTTGGTGCAGCGCCCTCGGGTGGACAAGCCAGCCGCTTGTATAAGACCTCGTAGAGACCGTACAAGACGCTACCAACGCCAATGACCAAGTTGCCAAAAGCGCGGTTCTCGGCTTCTTGTGAAGGCGGCGCCTTGTCACCGCCGGCCCCGCCGCCAGACTTGGAGCCGTGCTTTGCGGGCGCCTGGTCACCGTATGCCACAACAAAGACACCGGCAATGGCAATGGCGACGGCCAGGACCTTGCTGGCGCGCACCTTTTCATGGAGGATGGGGATGCTGAAGGCGTAGGCGAAGAAGGCAGAGCAGTTGTAGATGGCCGTCAGGTCGCTAGCAGTCGTCATGTTAACGGCGACATACCAACTGCCTCCTGCAAGAGTCAAAGCACATGTAATGAAAGCAGTCATCTTCATCATGTACTGGACGGGTGAGACTTGGGATTGCCGAGGCGTGGGGTGGAGCGTCTGGTGCTGGACCATGAGGGCCGTCTGGCGCAGAATGTGGACGTGTCTGCGCCAAAACGTCGGCCAGGGCTCGCTCCAATGCTGGAGACGGAGCAGGGCAAGAGTTGCAGGCCACAGCACAACCCAGGAGCCGTGGGTCATGTACAGCATGCAATACGGCTTCTCCCATTTGAGCTGGTGCTGGATGTACACGGCTGTCTCTGTCTGCACAGTGAAGCTGATCAGGCTCAGGGCCAGCAGGAAAGCAGCATACGTGTACTTTCTCCGTGTCTCGAGCTTTGCCTGTGTCTCTGGGTCTCGCTCGTGAAAGTGGTGTGTGCTCCTGCTTAACAGACCCTCGTCGACGGTATCGTCCTCGGTCTTGCGCCCCAGCAGAGGGGAGTTGGCGCGGCCATCGGGGCACTCGAGGGAGGGTCTCAGGTCGGAGGGCATGGCTGGGTCGTGGTCATCCCAATCGTCAAAGTCTCGGGCCGGATTGCGCGGCTGTCGTGAGGAGGAGCGTGAGCGCGAGAGATGGCGCGCGTTGGAGGCGGGAGCGAGGCTGAAGTCGTCGGAGAGGGTGTGGGCGAGGGCACGAGGAGTTGCTGGGGGTTTCTTGCGTAGAGGGATCGACTCAGGCATATAAGGCGGTTGTTGGGCAGAGCAAGAGGCCGCGCCGAGTGGCAGGTGATGGGTGAGTGGGCCTGGGGGGCTGCAGCGTGGGAGGTGACCAGGGGGGGGGGAAAGGTGTGGCGGTGTCTTTTTCTGGGAATTGATTTGCTTGGGTCCGGCGTAGGCGTCAAATGCTTAGTAGTCGTGACTGGCGACTGGCGATATCTGTCTTCAGGTGCCTGGTGGCATCGCAGCCGCGTACTACTGCAACACGGCCAAGCCCCCTGCATGCCGTAACCTCCGTGCAAACTCCGCTGACCTGACTCTCCACCTCCCCCACGGCCCAATCGCAGCTGAGCCCACCTGCCGCCTACGCGTCTTTTCCCTCGCATCCAATCTCCCCGTCTCAGCCAAGTCTGCGTCGAGCTGTATTTTCCATCGTGTTACTCATCGTTTACCCTATACAAACACCACAAGCCGCCTTTTGGATGGGTTTTCGTCCTCCAGACCCCTTGGCAATTTGACGTGCCATGCCGCTGTCCGGCGTCATCACGTCATACTTTAGCTGCATGCATAGTCGAATCACAACCCAGCTTCACGAGCGGCCTTGCCTGCTGTCCGCGTCTCTCAGATGACCAGACTCTGCATCCTCATGCACCATCAAGTGACTTGCTTGCCCTAGTACAGATAGATCGAAGCAGCCTCCAAGCCCCGTGGGGGACTCCAGCAGGTTATTTTCGACGTACTCCTATGTGCTGAAGCCCAACAATGACAGCATGACCGATAACAGAAACAAAAGTGATCACGATTCCGTGCGTCCATTAGGAACTAGCAGTTCTGTTATCTCGGTCGTAAAGTGCTCGTTACCCTATCAGTCCTCCCTAAATCATAGCCCAACAACCAAGAAAGAATGCGCCGGGGGAATCAAAAACGTCGGTGGCAGACATTTGACCAAGTTGCTCGAATCACACCGGGCTACCATCCAGTCCTTCGGCCCGCTCTTGCGTCTCTGCCTCTTCCAATTCCTGCAGGATCTCGGGCAGCATCGACTCAACGTCTTCTTCCCGCTCCCCTAGTGCTTTTGCAATCAGCTTCTTGTACGTGCCCTGCTTCTCGCTCATGCCCGCCACGCTCAAGTTGCCCACCACTTCTCTGACCAGCTCTCTCCGCTCCAGCTGTGCTCGGTGCAGCAGCAGCGCCAGACGCATCTTCTCCGTAATGTCCACTGGCGAGCTATCGCTGTTTTGCTGCGGCATGCTGCTGCACAGTCGCCGCAGCTCCGCCTTTTGCTCAATCTCCAAAAGCGACTCTGCTTCTTCCACCAGGAGCCGCAGCTCATCTTCTTGTTGCCGCTCCGCCTCTTCGTCATTGAGATCAATATGTAGCCCCTTTGACATGCTCTGCAGCTCCGCTACTTGCTTCCGTACAGCCTCTAGTTCTGCTTGCCGCCGCTTGACCACACGTTCGGCGTCGAAAAACTCTGCTTCTTTCTCTTGTAACTCTGCCTCGTATGCCGCCGCTAGTTCCTCGCACTTTTCCAGCAACGTGGGCGCTACTTTGGTCATCAAGTGTGAAGCAGTCTGTGACCGGTACTGCACTGACTCTCGGACTGCCATGTTAGGCACGGGTACCGACATCAGTGGCCCACCGTCAAAGTGGGGAACATGTCCGTTCAGTCGGTGCTCTGGTGCTGGCGCAAACGGCGATGACGAGGCCTGTCGCGTTCGGCCATGCATACGTCGTCTTTGGTTGAGCTCTCGGATCAGGTCGTCGGCAGTCTCGCCCTTCTTGTTCGGAATGTCCACTGCTACGTTTCGTCCCAACAGGCTTCGCACGCACTTCCTCGCACCGTTGCGTGCAGCAATCATAATGGCCGTGTCGCCGTTCTGATCCGCTGCATTCAAAAGCCTCGTGACTTCTTCCGGTATCCACGTTTCTGAGAGCTTGTTGATGATGCAGTCAAGATACCACCTTGCACAAACATACTTGTTTGAACTGCTCGTAGTCGCTGCAATGTGGTGAAAAACGGTACTGCCAAACCAATCTGTCCTGTGCACCGTTTGCTGGAATATCTTGACCATGCTCGGCATCGTCTCCTTGTCGAAGTTGTTGGTGAACATGACGGCGCGCATCAGAGGCGTCTCCAAGTTGTTCGACAGACAGTCTAAACGTGCTCCTCGATGTATCAGCTCCTTGACTACGCCAACGTCACCCATGGCCGCTGCCCAGTGCATCGCCGCATGTCCCTTTTCGTCAATCGGCCGGTCTAGGTTGATGCTTGGCGGTGGTTCTGGCCACGACACGGCTGCTTCATGGTCCAGTAGCATAAAGTAATCCAGTAGCTGGTCGGCCCATATCTGGTGTTGTTGGTCTAGTAAAGACATTTGGTCCATCCCTCTCTTCCGCTTTCTGTTACCGTCGGCCGAATATTGCGACATATCCATGAGATCGGCATCGCCCAGCATCGACTCCGAAATCACCGTCTCGTTGTCCGGTGTGTCCTCACGGTAGATCTGCGACCTCTGCGAGTTTTCATACGGGTCTTCACTGGCTTGCGACCGCGAATTGCTCATGAGTGCTGCACAATACATCAGCGCAAATTCTCTCACATGGTTGCATCGACGAGAGACTGGATAGATTCAAGCAAATGGACAAATTTACCATTGTGATTCGCAACCGCAGCTGCAGCAGCCGCCGCAGCTACAGCCGCCGCAGCCACCGCTGCTGCCGTCTGCCTGGGTGGCTTCATGCGATTTGACGCAGCCGTAGCATGCTTGGGCGCAGGAGGCGGGCTCCTGTCACCTGGCACATAGTCGAAGATGGCGCGCATCTTGTCCAGTACGCCGTTACGCTCCGCGAGCCCGCGCCCTTCCTCGAGCGGTATCCATGTGCCCTGGTATTTGCCATATCCACCCTGCACCTTCTCGTGCACGCCCTTTTGCACCTCGCGCTCCAGGATACGGGTTCGCGCCGGCTTGTCATAGTCGGCTACTTTGAGAATGTGTGTAGCATTGATCCAGTCATCGGCACGGCGGCGCATGACATGGTGGCCGTTGACATTGCACTCATAGACGGGGACCTGGGGCGAGTGTTAGCAGGGAGGCCGAGGTGGTGTGATGGTAGTAGCTGTGGCAGTCAAGTAGCATCGAGGGACATTGGACAGGCAGAGGGCGGGTTGTCGCTACGCACATTACTGTAGGTCGCCGAATATATTTTGCCATCGGGCGCCGGGGGCATTTTCACCATTCAGTAAAGCACAAGCGGCGTCTTGCAGGCGTGTCAAGTGATTTCGTGAAGGCGTGTCTGCGGTTCGCGTCAGACCTGGGGGGAAAGTCGCGTTGCAAGGGCCGCGGTCGCGCCTGCCCTGCCCTGCCAAGCATCGGGGTCGGGCGGTGGCAGCTTCCCTTTGCCGACCGCAGTGAACCTCAGCAACCTCGCCCGCAAACGACGCTCCCGCCCACCACTTTCCCCTCGTCCTGCGTGCCATTGACGACAAACACCACCCTGGGCCGCCAATATGACTGTTACAGAATCCATCAAGCATGCCATCGGCCTCGGAGAGCCCCGGAGTGAGTGCGCCCACGCATCCAGCCGTAATTGGCTCCGCATACCAGACACTGACAATTACGCAGAGGCTACCCGTGAGGAGATGAGTGCTGCTAAGCTGCCCCTACCCTACAGAGATTCATGCGCACACCTTCTGATTCCGCTGAATCGGTGTCGGTACGAGGAGTACTACCTACCATGGAAGTGCGAGGTGCGCAAAAGCCCATTTTCCGTGTACGTGGGGGAACCGCAGACTGACTGACTACGTTGGACAGAATGAGCGACACTCGTACGAGAAATGCCAGTACGAGGAGTTCAAGGAGCGCGTGAAGAAGATGGATGAGCTGAGGGCAGCCAAGGGCGGAGAGCGAAGCAATTAGAGCGTTTGCAGGTGCCCATGCAGGGTAGATTACGGAAATGACAGTCATGAGCGGATGCCGCTGCATGTATATACCGAAGCAGCAGAGGACACGCAATTTCAGCACTAAAGACACTCAAAGGCTACCAGACATGACGCCATGGCTTGAGGACATGGCAGCGACTTGGGGCCTTCTTTGAGCCCTACGAGACAGGCTTGATCAGCACTGCAACGCAGGTTCACGCTAAAACAAGACTCTAATTGATATTTGTTCCAAAATCACGATGGTCTGTATAGGCAGAGACAGATACATATGTACAGTCGGCTGTTTACAGCTTCGGCTTGGGGTCTTCCTGCGCAGCCCTGTTCCTCAATTCTTTCCTCAGAATCTTGCCAGATGGGTTCTTGGGTATCGCATCGACAAAATGCACGCCGCCTTCTAGCCGCTTGTACTTCGCAACACGCTCCGCCAGCCATGCTTTGATATTTTCCGCCATTTCCGGCGTGGCATCAGCCAAAGACCGAAGCACAATGTATGCGCGTGGCAATTCAGTACCGTCACTGACCATGATTAGCAGGTGTGCCTACATGTGACTGCAAAACTTACGCCTGTACTCCGATGACAGCAGCATCTTGTACCTGAGGATGATCTAGTAATAATGCCTCCAGCTCAGCGGGCGCAACCTGTAGTCCCTTGACCTTGATCAACTCCTTCTTTCTGTCCACGATATGAAAGTGCTGATTGGCATCCACGTATGCTGCGTCTCCAGTCTTCAACCATCCGTCTGGTGTGATGGTCTCCTTTGTCGCATCAGGCTTCTTCCAGTACCCCTTCATGACATTGGGGCCACGCACCCAGAGTTCACCTTGTTCACCTTGAGAAGCTTCAACCTTGCCCTGATCATCCAAGACAAGCTTCGCCTCGATGTTCGGATACAGTTCCCCTACGGAGGAACTGGGATACTGCATTGAGGGATAGTGGTTACAGCCAACAGTTGTGAGTTCCGTCATGCCCCACCCATTTCTGATGCTGATCTTGCCTGGTGGCCAAAGGCGTTCAAACTCTTGTTTGATTTGGCCACCGAGAGGAGCAGCGCCAGAGTTTACTTCCTCCACTGAGCTCAGGTCAAACTTCTTGGTTTCAGGGTGCTTGGCCATAAGTACAATGATGGGCGGCACCAAGACGAGATCCGTAATCCGGTATTTCTGCACGTACTCTAGCATTTGCAGCAGATCAAACTTGGCCATCATGTACACTGGGACCCGCAGCTTCAGGGCGCACATGCCGAACCAGGATTGCGCCATGGCATGGTACATGGGCAGGAAGATGAGAAACCTTTTTCGCTGCCGCAACTCTTCCCACCCCTCCTGTTGCTGTGGAACCTGCAACTGCGCAACGCAATTCGAAACGTAGTTCCTATGCGTAATCATCACGCCTTTCGCCATGCCCGTCGTGCCTGACGAGTAATTCAGCGCAACAACGCGATCCAGCTCCTCTGCGGTGCGCAGCTCCGGCCAAGTATATGCTTCGCCTCGTTCCGGTGTATCTAGCAGTTCCGTCCAGTGCCGAATGCGTCCCAGCTCCGAGTCGCGTTCCACCTTTCTACCTTCAAACGTCGCGGCTCCATCATCGAAAACAAAAATACGATCCGCACTCAACCCGACTTCTTTCGCGGCTGCGATCCCCGTGTCGAGACTGCCTTCTGCGCAGATTAGGAACCGTGCCCCGCTGTCTTGTAGTTGATATGCCAACTCCCGCACTACGTAGGTTGGATTCGCGCCTGTGAAGATGCCTTCAGCCATTATCGTACCCATTAATACAGCAGGGAAGAATAGCGTGTTCGACGAGAAGAGTAGCACGCGATCCCCCGGCTGCAATCCTGCGCGCAGCAGACCCGATGCGAAGCGCTTTGCATACTGCCGGTGGCCGTGTAGCGAGAGGAAATGCGACTCTGGGTTCGCAGCGGAGATGAGAATCGGTGTTTTGGGCAGCGGATCGCTCGGAGAGTCGAAAATGAAGGTTGGGAGGGAGACTTGGGGGACAGGGATGGTGAAGCGGGGTTTTATGGGCATTGTTGCTTTTGACTTTGAAGTAGTAGCTAGGTATCAGGTTCACCTAGAGATGTGTTAGACGTCTGTATCGCGTCGAGATGTTGTAGTAGCACTACTTCAACTACTACCTTTTTCCCTTCTCTTGTCCTGCAGCAAAAAACGACGAAGTCTCAAATGTTCTTCACGTGTTTATATTTATTTAGAATAAATTACATTATATACTGTCCTTTTTAAATACTCCTTTTCTCAGAACAGTAATCACGACGTTGCTCCCTCCACCCTTTCCCATACAGCATCGTATGAAGCATCACTGCAATCCCTCGGTTCTCCGCACGCTCGACTACCAAAAGCGGTAGTGACATGAGGGAAAGTGTGTCAGGTTGCTTGGTTCAACTGTTTTGCGTTTAGTGCAACAATGTGGTAAGGGTCGAAGTCGACTCGTGTGCGGCGAGTACGTGCGGGGCTTGTGGGCGCGGCCCGAGGTTACCGAGTTCTTGCAGGAAAGATGGGAAATGCGAAATGGGATGGAGGGTTAGTGTGAATAGGTTGGTGCGGTTTGGACTAAAGACTTGTGAGGGTAGTATTTGGGATTGTATGGAAGGGAGGGTTTTTTTTTGGGATAACGGGTGTGGATGTGAGATTCCGTGTAGTGTTTGGTGGTTGGTGGTTGGTTGGGGGATTATTTTGGGTTTTGAGTTGCGGTTGTTTCGGATCATAAACTTTATAAGACGTGGTGATTTTTTTCTCGCTCAACTAGGTTATCATCCTGCTACCCATCTACGTTGCTGATTTTGTTCGAGGGGAGTTGTTGTTTAGTGGGTAACGGTACAGTGCCCTGCGTATGATAGCGCCTTGCTAGTAAAAATTCCGATCCACACACAACTTACGCTTAACGCTGATTTACCGCGCTAGTAGTAAAACTAGCCCTCTTGAATTATGCTAAATTATTAATTGACGTCGTGTTTTAACTGCCTACATCATGCGAATATGTTCCGGATTTTCCTACCATCGCAATTTGTCGGTTCCTCGGCTGCTACGGTGCACGGCACAGGAGAGCCCGGATTGTTGAGGAATCTAGCATCTGGGGCTCCACGTGGACAGATCGAACATGCAGAAATCGCAGGGCCTTTTGTAAGACCTAAAGCGTGGAAAGTTTAGTGTAGTACTAAATAGTACGCTTGCTAAGCCGTACAGCGGTCATCCCTGCTTCTCCCCTGTAGCTTGCAACGACCGCATCAGCTGTAATCATCTCCTTCGTATTCGGAAGCATGTCATCACGATCTAAAAGACGGTGTGATGTTCATTTTAGGTTGCTTAGAGGGTATATTTTGACATCAGAGTCACACGAGCATCTTTCTTGGAAGTGATGTCGTGTGGGTATACATCTGGCACTGGGCGCTTGCAGTTAGTGTTAGTCGTGGAATAGCCACAACTGATTTCAACAATCTGTATATATTGTACAACTCAATTTTGATAAACATTATCCTAAATTCTAACACACTACCCATACGTATCAGGATATATCCCAACGACTTTCACGTCAAAGAGTGGCGTAGTCCAATGCCCATATACTACAGTCTCGCGCACCGTCTACAGCACAGTATACTACGATGTCAACATGAAGAAATTTGATGCAGAGACTAGAAAGACTATGTGAATTAAATGAAGAGAGCTTGTAACACCATCCGTTATGCCACGTCCGTTATGTAACACCATCCGCTATGCAACTATTCAGATATATGGGCCTCAAAGAAAAACTAACCCTGGGGTTGAAATGGAGATATTCTCAACATAGGAAAGTACAAACTGAGAAAGAGAAATATGGAACAGACTGCCTCACACTACACTCATGAGATGTACCGATTTGGATGGTACATCTCCGGGTTGAAGTACGACGTCACAGACAGCCCTGTCTTCTTGAACGAGCATGTGATATAGGTATGCAGACCAAGTTCAGAGTCGAGAGATCTATGTGAACTACAATCACAGTTAGTTGTGAAAGCAGAAGCTCTACATGCATACTTACAAGATATCCGAAAGTGCTTGGACGTATTTATCCGCCATCGCCGACTGTCCGCGACGCTCAAAGTACGTGGCCAACCCCTGGGCAATGGAGAGATCGTTTTTGGCATAATGACGGACAGGAATATACACTTTTGGAACTATATCGTGTGACACCGGTTTGATCTCGAAGTAGTAGAGGATACCCGAGGTCCGGTGTGGGACGTTCGGCAATTCTTGGTCCGAGGAAAAGTATTCTGGCAGACCAAGGACCAAAGACCACAATTCGCGCAAGCTAGCTAATGAAGTGGGGTTGAGAGGCTTACTGGCACCCAGTGAAAGCATTCGACATACGCTGTCGAAAGATGTTTCTCTGTGACGGACGTAGATCTTGACTCGTGACTTGACAGGGACGACACAGTCGATGCCAATGATTTCGATCTGGGGACGACTTGGACTGGTTTTGGAGAATGTCGTCAGGTCGGAGTTGAACCTGCGAAAGTTGTTCATGAAAACGGGTCCAAGATGCGCCTTGCATGAGTCGATTGCTTGGACCACCAGTTCGGGAACCGGCGTATCTGTCTCGACTGCCTTCAGGCCAGGGATAAAGTAGGCCTTCAAGGAGGGAGTTCCGACATCGAGATCGAAAGCAACAAAGTGCTGCGATCGCCCGTTTACCGAAATGTGTTTTGTGTCGAGCTTTTTGTAGGTTGTGGTGAGAGCCTCAGAGAACGCGTCGAAAATGGTCAGGTCCAGACTCTTGTGGAACGCTGGCCGGAGCGTATCTATAAGTTGGAATACCATCTTCTCATTCAGCGGGTCGGCTGAGTTACCCGCATGTTTTCCGATTGGCTCTATGGAGAAGCGAACGCGTGACTCCCCGGCTGACATTCCCCATTCCCAACTCAATTCAAGAGGGGAGCAGTCATCCGTCATGAAGCTTTCCCATCCGTTTGGGTGGCCTTCGAGTGAGGGTCTTCTACCAAGAGCTGGTAGAATATACATGTAGTAAAACAGCAAATGTTTATGCTGTGTATCTTGATCGTACCCAATTAATTCCATCATGCGCGCAAGGATGGGCCCGGTCGTTTCCCACCAGAAGCGAGTATCTTCGTCGAAAACAGTCAGTGATTCATTGAGGGATAGCCATACTCCCAGGGTCTTTTGCTTCGTCTTCTTCGGTTCCTTGGGTTTCCTTGCAGCAAGGCTGCGAATTCTCCGAAAGAGACGAATAATCTGCATTGTTCTTTGAATATTTGCTCGAAATTCGAGGGAGAAAAAACAATAATAATACATATGCATATGCAAATGTCTCACAGGAATGCGTCATTTGTCCAACTAACCATCACACCTTGTACACGTGTCGCTGTCCCCGCAGGAGGCAAGTCAGCCCAAGGGAGGGGTGTGGGAATCTTACATGCGCAATCGTTGGTCGCAGATTGAAAAGTCTAGTCCAGATCGGCCTAGGTCTATGCACCATTCACGCGGGTGTATTAGACAAACAATGCTGATGGTTGTGAAACCAACATTTATAATACATGTTCCGTATTTGCAACACAGATTTGTTGTTAGTAATATATTCAGAGCTAAGCGGGCTGTCGGGATCTTCTCGGCCGAAAAGAAATTCATGTTTGGCTGCTTTTCTTTTTTCAGATTCGCGGCTTCGTGATGTGTAATATCGTAGTAATATCTGAGATAGTCGATAGCTCCTTCGGAACACCATACCATAGCAGCACTAACACACCGCCTAATTCTATAGACCGGAAGTGAAACTACACCGCCCTAGCGGTATGTTTGGTTCAAAAAACGATCGATCTTGTAATTATGCAAGTACAATACTAGCGTGGAAATAGAACCGAAAATGCGGTGTTAGAGAGAATGCGAAAGTTGTCTGAATTTGGAGGTTGATTGACTCGATAAAAACTGAAGGATCTATAGAGTTTTAGTTATACAGATGTAAAATACTTCGTGTGGGGTTGGATGTGCATTTACTAATAGAAAAGGTCCACTTAGGATTTTTTTCCTGAGCTGCTGATCACACAGTTGTCAGTGGACCTATCATTTGCAATGATTTTGGAAAAACCCAGAGATATCGGCTTTTTCTACCGCACCACTCTCTGAGACATCTCCTCGGGGCTTTCCATTTTTATTTTTTTTACCATTTTCCTTTTTCTCACATGGACTAAGATTAGCCCGCACAGAATAACGGATGTACTTCCCAATTGACAGCCACACTCCAGACCTCAGGGGATAGCTTTGAGCGGGATGTTTGAGTGGTTATTGTAGCATGTGCTCTAGAATACCTCAAACGTCGGTGAGGTAACCGGCCCGTTTGGTTTGTCTGCACCGTTGGCATTCAAAAGAGTCATGTGCACAGCAGCCATCTTCAATTCGGGGTTTTTCGGAACCTGCGTGTCCAATGCAAACACACAGTCCTCACATGGACCATCACAGTCTCTTCTTTCACGATCAGTATTGCACCATTAAGTTGTGGGAGCATCATGAATGCTCAACTCACTTCGTGAGCACTAGGATCTCCTTTCTTAAGAAGCATCACAAAAGTAGCGGCTATGTCGTCAGCAATGAACCGAAGAACGTGGGGAGAACTAGAGATGATATCTTGGCACCGGGCGCCAAGTATCTACTGTCAGACATTAAGAGATGCGTATACGCACGGGCACAGTACACGTAGGTTAAGCCCTGTTCTAAGTCGTAAACCGACTAGTTTAGCTTCTTCGCAACTTCTAGCGTACTGTGTATTTTCCATAGCCCTAGCAAGGCGAGTCAGTATCGGTAAGAGCGCTAGACTCGGACACGTCGGTCTGATGGAGTGATGTTGAAACCCACGTGCACTTGCATTATCTCTCGCGGCTATCTGCCAAGAAAAACAATATTTTCTTAGAGGCGATCTGGAATAGCACATATGTCTTGTCAACCACGAATTCATCGCTGAAGTCTTCTGTGCCCCACATGCAGAGTCGAATTTCGCTGCAGCTTTGACGTGGATGGAAGCGGTGAGAACATGTCACTCTTGATGCATTGTCGTGACAATATACATACCTTTTAGAGACTTGTGGACTAGTCTAAAATATATGTTACTAGAGTCAGAGGTGCTAAGGCAACACGAAGGTTCTGTCGGACAAAGCGTTAATGGAGTCTTTGACAGCCATTACAGCCAAAATATATCACTTAAAAGGTGCTACCAGGCATAAAATAACAGTAGAGCTTGTAGTTGAATCATAGAAAATGGGCTTCTCTGTGCTTGATTCTCTGAGTTTTGGGTAGCTTTAAGAAGAAGGAAAAAGCCCTCTGATCACTGCGGAAGCCATTTTCACAGCCAAAGCATCGCGTGAGAACATGAAAAGTGAAAATCATGGTGATTGCACTTGCTGTTTACATTCCTATCCTGCCTTTTCATAGTACTTGACACAAGCTAAAGGTAGTGTTACGTCCCAGCGATTTTCATTTCTGATAGAATGTACTCATACGGTACCTAGTCTCTCCCTCATATGGTCTAAGATCTGCCAGCGCTTGTTCTCCTTCCTTTTCAATGGTTTTCTTGATTCTATCACTTCGTGGCTTGATGCTTACTTTGAAGATGTTTGGACGCATGTTTAGGCCATTGCTGCGATGTAGTCAGCTTTAAGTTTGTGAGTGGAAATTATGATCGACCTACGTGTAGTCATATATGTCGATAGGAATAGGCTTTCCACTTTCGTCTAGCGCTGGTTCAATCTTGAAGCCCCAGATCAGTCGCGCAACCGTCAACCATGTTCCCTGTTCAGCAAGTGCCTGTCCTGAGCACACTCGTCGTCCCCAGCCGAAAGTCATGTATCCACGTTCGCCAGGAAAAGGCCGTGAGTCTGGATGGTCTTTCAGGAACCGGTTTGGATTAAACCGATCAGGGTCCGGAAACTCGCGTTCATTATGATGGATCGCCCATACATTGCCCTGCACCCACGTCGACTGTGGAATCAGGTAACCCTTGTAATAGTCATCTTGCACTGGTGCATGAGGTTGCCCACCAATAATGGCTACAGAACGCCAACGGAACACTTCTTTAACAAAAGCGCGTATGTAGGGTAGGTTTGCTTCGTCCTCGAACGACGGGCTTCGGTCTGGCCCTACCACACGGTCCAACTCTTCCCTGGCTGCTTCAAGAGTTTCCGGGAAAGCACGCATCGCAAGTACCGCTGTGATGAGGGTACTACTCGAAGTATCCGACCCTGCACCAAATAGGTTGCCAGCCAAGGAGGATATCTCTTCCTTTCTCAATCCGTGCTTTTCTTGTTCCCTAAATAGCATCTTTACGTAGCAGTCATCGTGACCTGGCTTCTCATTGGCTTCGCTCGCTAGTGAATAAAAGAAGTCATGACCGCGATGTGACTTTTTCTTTGACCCCATTCCGTGTTTCCAGGGTGCATACTCCGTCGGCACACGAGCTAATGCAGGGAATGTCTCCATCAACATTGGAAATGTCTTGCCAGGCACATTGAGGTCGGCGGCGCGATGCATCAACGCAATTACTTCTGTAATGATAGGATCTTCCGGACTTGAAACTCGCCTCCCAAAGCCAATGATCGACACCACACTCGTTGCGTATCGCTCAAAGTGCGCTACATATTTCTCGGGGGTGCGAAGCAAGTCAAGAGCAACGACTTTGCTCTCGTCGTTTTGAAAGCTACGATATTTCTTTACCTGCTGAATGCCAACACCTTGGTGTGTCAACTTACGCAGCATCCGAAACCGTTCACGTTGAGCCGGGGTTGTAGTGATTAGGTTGACAAGGTTATTCTGGCCCGAGCCCAGCTCTGCAAAGACCAACATGCGTGGTCGCGAGCAGTATATGCCTGCCCTCTTCTCGAGAAGCTCGTTCGCTGTCCATGCATCATTAATCCATACAGTTGGATTTCGCCCGATCCAATATGTGATAAGTGGTGTGTTCAATTTCTTGGACAGCTCTTCGAAATATATCCATGGTTTGTTGTCGGGTAGTTGGAAAGTGTTCCCGACGATAGGGTATGGGAAGGGCCCAGGGGGCTTCTTAGCATCAGTAAGGTAATTAGTCTTTTTGTCATTATGACTTTATTTACCATCTTCGATCTCATGTACAGCATCCAGGTATAATCCGCGAGAATACCGAGCGCGACTATCCCGAAGACTGCGAGGGCGACGTTTCCAGCACCAAATTTTGATATACCATGCTGCAAGTAGTGGATAGGTAGCGCCTCGAAAAGTTGCTCAATCGCCATGTTGCCGAAAGGTGTGTGCTCTTCCTGCTGAGGTGTTTAGACAAAAGACGCTTGAGCTTTTGGGTGTACGTTCGTCAAGGCAAATCAATACAAGCTACAATGCATAGCACTGATCCACTAATGTATCCGATGACCTAAGATTCAATATCGGCTTGCAGATTTACTACCGCCATATCTTTCTGCAACTCCTAGTGCAGCCCTCTCTTGGAGACTCACTGGCGCGGAGCGGGCTACCCCACATCCCGGGGGTGGGGCATGAACGTCGGGTAAAGTTGAACCTTGCGAAGACTGCAACCTGTTTGAAAAGGCTAGTAGAGTTGGAGGCCCTTATTGGCTGTATTATATCGCCTATTTAAGCATCTGTGTATCTGGCGTCACCAATGGTGTCTATAGGAAAGGTAATAACTAGACAAAGTTTCATTGGCTGGGATCACATTGCGACGTTGACTTGCGACGTGATTGAGCGACATGTTGGGTATTATCGATCTGCTGTATGTTTCAGCCATTGATTCGTTCTTATGAACACCGAGTATTAGCACTAGTAACATTACACAATCGCTCATCATTGCCACCCATAGTAACCATATCGCTGTAGCGCTACGCCAACAACATTATGGAAGCATTGTGAAATTGGGACTGCGATCTTGAAAGAACAAGGCTCGAAAACAGATGATGTGCGGAGAGCATTAGTATAGCTCGTTGGACTTATCAACAGCAAGTATCAGGTCAGCTTGGCATGATAAATAAAAATTCCATGATGATCCATTAGCAAGTTCTCTCAGTGTCATGTCTCACTAGAACCATGGTCCCAATTACCCCTATAAAGTCGTGATTCTTCATGCGCACAGACGGAAAAAAATTATGCCACTTTTTACATCCTTACGACGAACGAACAAGTCACTGTGGCTCCGAAACTTCAGGAAAAGTGGTATGGATAAGGACTTGGTCATGCTTGAATGTTTTGTCGAGGAAGAGAGAAAACCGTTACAAAGCTTTCGTAAGTTGGATGATCTACCTGGAGAGATATTGGGCATGATCTCTGGGTATTTGACGAAGAAACAATTGCGCGAGTTTCGAAAGATCGGCAGCCGGTATATCGCGCAACACATAGACCACGCCTTTGTAAATGCGATATAATCCCAGTTCAGTATACCCATCCGCTGACAAGTAATTATAGGCTCAAGCACACTTCCGCCATCGCATCTGTAAGACGACCAACCACAGTGTCAGAAACCTCGAAAGACTGAGCATCCCACGATTCGTCAAGCATATCCACACACTGGAAATTCGTCTTGACCTCGGATCTCGTATTCAACCACTGAGAGAAGAAGAATTACCAGTTCTCGATGAACTTGTTACACTGGAAATGCTCGATGAAGCAAGACTCTTTGCTGCTGTTGAGGACATTTTCAAACAAGCACTGCAACTACGGGAACTGATCATTCGAGCACCAGAAGGCCAGGTTTACACAAAAGACGGACATTTAATGGCTAGACCAGTGCCTGAAGACTATGAGGAGATGTGTGATGACGAGTTAGAAGGGCTCTTAATTCTACATTCTGGACAACATCAAAGCATTGATGCCTATACCATTTGCGATTTTGTCTCCCAACTGATACGCTGCACACAAACGACAGCGTCACGTCTTGAGATGCTCAGAATCTTGGATTTTGCGAAATCAGAGTGGCAGTCATGGCTGGCTTCGGCAGAATCGATACTCGACGGGATGACATATGTCCCAGTTCTGCAGAACTTGACCACCATAGATTTACAGCTGGAGATGTTTCCTAGCAGGGAGAACATTTGCATGTCAAGCCTTGTCGAAATTACCAAGCAGAATGCCAACCTGAAGGTCTTGAAAGTACGCACAAGCCCGAGAAGCATTAGGTACTACCGCACCAGCAGCGAGGATTGGGCGCCGCTACTTCAACAGCTTGGCAGCGATCCACCGTTTCGTCTCCGAACACTTGAATTTGATGGACTTATCTCGAGTGAATCGGCACCAACTCTGGACCGTATTGTTAACACACATAACCCGACTCTTCGCCGGCTGGTCATGGAGCATACTAATTTCCACTATCCAAACACCCTCCATGCTCTCTTCAGCTCTCTGGCCAGGTCAAATGTGAACTATTTTAAATCAAACTGGCTGTACCTCCATCGAGGGTATTACCTGTTAGCCCTCAGGGTGTACTTTCAAACAATTTTCGACGAGGTCATTGAGCCGACAATTCGACATATCGATGAGTGCGACGACGAATCTTGTTGGGACTGGGTCGAAGTCTTTTGGGACGTCAGCAGTTTTGACACCCCATTGGTCTTCGACAATGAAGATGGCTGGCATGGAGAGGGTTGGATGAGGCATTGCTTTATGAACACGGTTGCATCCATTAATTGCGGGGCTATAAGAGATTATTGAGGAGGATATTTTTCAACATTAGCAATAGTTCTGTAGCAAAAAAGACGGGGGATGTTTGGATTACCGCTCTCAGGACAGAAACACATGGAATACTCAAAGTCACGCTATGCGCTTCAAGGTTTATTTATCCACCCAATCACCACATAGACAAGAATCTCTCTGATCCTACTGATGGCACTCTGAGCCGGGGCCAGCTATCCTTGCAAACAACATAATGCATGATTATGGAGTTACACAATTATGTACCCATCCATCCCAGCCAACGGGATAAGTTGGCGCGCCCCACAAACTTGCCCCACATGAATGTCTCGGGTAGTAGCATACCCTCATCTTCTTTCTTGTATGGTGTTGACTTTCTTGGCTACGAGAATGGCCACTATCGCAGCTCTTCTAACGCAAATTCCGCCAAAGCTTTAACCAAGCTGCTGACCTTGCGGAAATCAGTGAAGATGCCGAGCAAAGATCAATACACAAGACAAGGCGGACCATGCATGAGCGAACAATGAAACATTAATAAAGCTGATGCGATTCTTGATTGTTTGTTCCTGCATCCAAAAGATCTAGAATTTGCTTAGGCATAATCATGCAATACGTGGGAATGAGGAGGAAATGCCATTGGCCTAGCGAAACCAACTGCAGCTTGAACACTCCATTCTAAACTCAAATTATAGCTACGGTGAAGCGGGGTACATATGCTTCATGACCACTATCGGCAAATACTGCAAGTCGGGATTAGCCCACCGGTGTCGATCTGCCCAGTTGCATCCAGAAATGAGTGTACAATCGGATTGTGGAGGCCCTTGCACACCTATGTATGAGAGGTTGTCAACAACCTGATTTCTCTGGCTACCAATCTTTGTCTCTCCCATCAGCTTTTTCTCATTTCTACGTGGAACTTTGGAAATAGTCATCGAAATGCCAGAACTCGACAGCAGTCTGCTGTCCAATTGGAAATGTGTCGCAGCATGCACCCTGGTCTCAATGTCAACTTTTCAATACGGCGTTGACTTTGGCGCCATCGGTGGACTGCAAGCTATGCGTGGCTTCCTTGAAGTCTTTGGACATCCTGATCCCGCTAGTCCAACTGGCTGGAATATCTCGACTGAGCGACAGCAGCTTATGTCCTCTCTAATGACTCTGGGCGCCTTCGTTAGCTCAGGATTTGCAGGAGTTGGGGCGAAGAAATTAGGAAGACGACACTGTTTGTGGCTAGCCAGTGCGCTTTGCTGTATCAGTAACATTGTCATGATGACTACGACAAACACGGCAGGATTGTATGTTGGCAGACTGTTTATTGGACTTGCGAATGGCTGGTACATGACATTCTCGCAGTTGTATATTCAGGTAAGACTACAATTGGAACCCTACTCACCACCATGATTTGGTTGCTTAATATCGCAACAGGAATCTGCACCAGCCCATTATCGCGGTCTTCTTATATCCGTATATCAAATATGGGTTTCGATAGGTACCCTCGTAGGCACCGTGGTCGACAACGCAACGCACGATATGAACGGTCGCAAATCGTACCTCATCCCATTAGGGGTGATATTCATCGTCCCATTCCTCATGTCCGTTGGTTTGTTCTTCATCCCCGAATCCCCACGTTGGCTCGTTCTGGTCGGGAAGAATGAACAAGCTGAGAAATCGCTGCTTTGGATGCGTCCGAATCCAGCGAATGTACACATCGAAGTTGTCGAGATGAAGGCAGCCATCGATGCCGAGAAAGCTGTCAATGCTAGTGCAAGTTTCATGGATATCTGGAGGAACCCAGTCGACCGTCGACGCACACTGCTATCTATTGCCGCAGTGTCGACTCAAGCTGCATCTGGTGCCATGTTTGTAATTGCGTATGGCACATACTTCTTCCAGGTAAGTCGCAAAGGTTTCGATCTCACGTAAATACTGACTTCGATGCAGATGGCAAACGTCGGCAGCCCATTCATGAACACGTGTATCTTAATTGCTGTCGGTATCGTTGCGGTAACGGTCAATAGCTGTATCATCTCCAAAGTTGGACGGCGGCGCGTTTTCCTTATGACCGGTCTATCGATTTGTGGTATCACCCAGATGATCATTGCAGCTGTTTACCATGTTAATCCTCGCACTACTCGCACGGGAAAGGTACGTCTTATCTGAGCTAAGAACTGATTCTTGCTTTCCATACTAACGGAGGCAAGATAATTGTTGGAGTTTCGGTGGTTTACATTTGCGGATACAACGGCATGATTGCGGCTTATTCGTGGCTTGCTGGCGGAGAAATCCCATCACAGCGGTTACGGTCATATACCTTCGGCGTTGCATCTGCCGTTGCCTTTGCCGCTGCTTGGCTCACCACTTTTACAGCACCCTATTTTATCAATCCTGAGTCTCTCAATTGGGGACCAGAATATGGTTAGTTCCCTTTCTTGAATGCCTTGCCATGTTCACGCAAATGCCTTCTACAATAGCACTAACTTCCCGGCTAGGTTGGATCTGGGGACCATCCTGCTTTATCACAGTCGTATGGGTCTACTTCTATCTACCAGAGATCAAGGACCGCACACTTGAAGAGGTCGATGAGATGTTTGAAGCGAGACTTCCAGCACGCAAGTTCAGAAAGTATGTATGTGTTGGTCATTATGTACAAGGTAGAGATGAGAAGATCGAACGGAGTGACAGCGAGAAGAACGAAGCTGTACATCAGGAAGTTGTTAGCGTGGGGAAGCGTGACTAGGATTGTCGATGGACGATAAAACAATCTGCTAGCTTGTTTCTGATCATGTGGTTGTATCATCTCTTTGTTAATCATGAATGGAATCTTTTGCTCGTCTTTTCGAAAAATCCACTCAACATGTTCATAAACTATGAAAACTACACCTCGCCACAAAGTGGATCTTAGGACGAATGAGGATGTATGTGAGAGTATTTGCATGCGTTGCATTGATAAGAGTAAAGATTACAGAGGCGACTAGAATATTGTAATCTCTGAGATCGTTCGTCAAGCTTAGACCGGAACTACGTGGCCACGCTCGTAGCCTTCTTGATCGCCTCATCTCCTACTTCTTCCGCATGCTTCTGCGCATCATGCAGGAATACCCAATCCTCTCTTGGGAACTGTATGATAGTAGGGTCTTTCTTCACCTTCTCCCAATCCGTCTTGTGCCACATATCCCTAGTAGTCTCCCCAGTCTTCTGCACCGCTTTCACACGTTCGTACCGTACATCTTGGTATGCTCTCAACGCTCCTTTCACATTCCCTTTACCTGCCTTCCTCAGCAACACTGCCAGCGTAACACTGTCTTCCAACGCCTGAGTTGCGCCTTGTGCGCTCGTCGGCAAAAATGGGTGAGCGGCGTCTCCTAGTAGACATATGCGACCATGACCGGGTGCAGATCCGTATCCAGAGACCCAGTTGGGCAGCGGATCCCGGTAAACAAGCTTCCAATCTACCAGTTTCTCTTCCGGCGTCTTAGAAACGATTTTCCAGCACATAGGATCCCAGCCTTCAAGGACCTTGCGCACGTCTTTGAGATAGCCAGGGAATGACCAGGACTCCTTGATGTCATGCGAATCGCGGTGGGTCAAAACCCAGCAGCAGTCCGAGCCATTCTTTATTGTACTGAAAAGAAAGTGTACATCTGGTCCTATTGTTGATGTTAGTTGCTACCACTTATCGCGCACTTAGATCAATGGTTACAAAGGACAAAGGAAGACATACCAATCCAGCCATTGAATGTATCACCATTCTCACAAAACTGCTTAGTCTCCGGATCCGCAATCATGTCTTTGTTCGAGAACCATGCTCTCCAAACCGCATACCCACTACTCTTTGGTTTGTCCTCATATCCGAGCACTAGTGTTCTGGCTTTGCTTCTGACACCATCACTTGCCACTACAACGTCGCCAGCCACTCTCGTTCCATCCGCGAGCACAACGCCTGCTTCCTTCTCATCCTCCCAGTAATGCTCGATCTTTTGTCCCAAGTTGATTTCTACACCAATCTCTTTTGCATATTCAAAAACAATTTCATGAAGCTCACCCCTATGCCCGTTGAAGTTCGGCACCTCTTCATTGCGCGGTGGCGTCTTTTGATTGACTACTATCTCTCCGGTATCCCACTTGTGAATGTTGAAACCATAATTAGTCAAGTCGATGGAGACCTTGCGCATTTCACGCGCAACGCGACCGTCGTTCCAGCGTGCGAAGATGCGACCCCCATTAGGTCCGAAAGTAATGATGTCGCCAAGAACCTTGAGAGAGGGGAAAGACTCGTAGATTACAGGTGTGTGGCCATGACGGATGCATTCTATGGCCGTGGACAGGCCACCAAAACCTAGTTGATCTTTTTTAGAAAGTTGACATGTCGTGAACCCTTGGCTAGTATGTACCTGCACCGACAATGATTACTTTGATGCCTGTTTTTGGAACAGCGTCATTGGCCTGGACTCTATTGCCATTTGTCTCCAAAGAGGCCATGTTTTGTGATTCGTTTTTGTCTATTATTTCACGGACTAGGGTTCAGAATGAAAAGAAATGTCACGCCCAGAATGTAACGATGAAAGAATACGACGAAACTGATCGCGGTACTCGATATGGAAGTAAACTTCATTCCCGAAAGCGCGGGGCAGTACAGCCCGCCACTTCCCGAAGGCGTACGGTACTATCTGCCGATCAGTGAGCTTGATACCTGGATTCAGGCATCCAGGCGACATGCCTCCGATGACCTGCACACTCACGCGAGCATAGACACGGCACGTCACTCTGCAGGCTCATTCGCGGTATATTGATTCCGTGGAGAAGAGCCTGGATGATACATACACACGGGTACGCAGATCCGTCTAATAAGAGCCAGGCGATGTACATGCCCCACATGGTGACCAGCTTCCCCGCTTGCGCTGGCTTTCCCCGCATCCGCGACATGCTCTTGAGCAGTCCTAGCCCACACAGTCCTTGCTTTCAGAATGGGGCGCAAAATCCTTGCTGTTGGACTACTATAATGCAAAACGGCTATACACCATGTCTGCAATCCCATTACGCCCTACTACTGATAATAAGGTGACGAAAGAGCTATAAACCAACTAGATTGCGTTCCTATTGTTGACAGAGTTGTTCTTCTAGGTCTGCAATCAGATTAACTCTAAGAACTTTTACTCTTATTAGTTGCAGATACAATAAGATATTATGAATCTCTTTATTTGAACAGCGTCTCGTCGTGTAACAAACACCAGATTCTCAACTGGGATCTCCATTGAATCACCTATAGTTGCCAGCTAGAAGAGCCAACCAAACTAGCTAGCAGTGAGGAGCCTGAGGACTCAGAAGCCGGGAGTTGGAAGAGCCGGAGGAGCGACCAGTACACGTGCCACTATAGCTTGTCTAATCCAAAATAAAAATCTGCTTACCAAGATGTCCAAGTAAATGAAAAACAGATAGCAAACCTACTATGGTATCCTTTAATGCTACTATGTGGATAGAGAGGCTACAGTTGGCTCAGTTCTCCACATTGGGGGGGGGGGGCTTTATGGGTCTAAACAGCGCTAATTGGCTGGGCAAAAATCGATTCCAGGCATGGTGTACGTATGCAGGACTGAAACTCTCGGTTCGCCAATGCGGTGCAGTGCAACAGTGACTCGATACATCATACATAAATATTAACGCAGTAACCCAGAGGCATATTTACGATTTCAAGAAAGCCTCAAGTTTATGCAGCATCCGCCATGGTGACTTTGACACATCCAGAATGGAACCAGGAAACGGGCGGGCTAGAGGTTGCCAAAGCCTTTGCAGATCAAATTCGTGGAAAGAACGGTAGTTTTGCTCGAGCCTCACACTAAGTTAGGTATTCAACTAAACAGTCGATAGTTCTGATCACTGGTGTATCTCCAACAAGCATTGGCTCTTCAGTTGCTCTCTCGCTCGCTTCTCAGGCACCAGCCCTCTTGATACTCGCCTCACGCACCGAATCGAATCTTGAGCAAGTGCGCAAGGACCTACAAGATGCCTACCCCGGAACTGCAACTAAAATTGTGGTTCTCGATTTAATGTCGCAAGACTCCATTAAAAAGGCTGCGAACAATATCTCGCAGTTAACAGATCGCCTTGACTTGATCATCAACAATGCAGGCCTTATGACCAAGACTCGTCGGACGACTGCGGAGGGCGTCGAAGCCCAGTTTGGTGCCAACCACATCGGTCACTTCCTACTCACCAACCTTCTTGTACCCCAACTTCTAAAGTCCGCTGCATCAACTACTTCGGGGGCGACACGTGTCATCAACGTCTCATCGCAGGGTCACCACCTGAGTGGCATTCGTTTTTCAGATTACAATTTCGAGAAGAGCAACGAGGAGCTTCCGGAAGAAGAAAGATACACGCCCGCTTCCCCTGTTTTTGCTAATATCCCAAGCCGCAATGGATACCACGGATTTGCAGCATACGGCCAATCGAAGACTGCAAACATCTTGTTTTCCATAGGTATCAACAAAAGGCTTGGGGATAAAGGGATAAAGAGCTACGCTCTTCACCCCGGAGGTAAGTATTCACTTTTACAACAATTCAGAAGTTCTCTCTGACGTGCGTAGCGATACCAACCAACATGAGTCGTGATCTTGATTCTGATTCTGAGGAGCTAATAGCAATTGGAAAGACAATGACTTTGATAAAGAATCTTGACCAAGGCGCCGCAACAGTGTTAGTAGCAGCACTGGACCCGGCCTTGAACAGTATGAAGCCTCCCAAGGCTTTCTGCATGAAAGGCTAAGCACTGACGTTTGTTTAGTAGAGCAGGGAATCTTCCTCGATGATTGCCAAATTCGGGACGCAGCGCCACACGCAACTGATCCGGACAAGGCTGAAAAGCTTTGGGAGTTGAGTGAGAAACTAGTTGGGACCAAGTTTGAACTATGATGCGATGCCACTTGGCTGTTGAGTATGCAATCAAACAACCAAACAAGACACTCTCGCCCATATCCATATCGCTCTTGCTTCAGAAGTCGCTGATAGACACAATTGATAGAAAAATAACAAACAGTTATTCAGAAAGCATAATCTCATTATCTCTCGCGTAAAAGACACATGTGTGGCAGGTACAAGTCATCCAACACCTCATCGTACACTATCATGCCTATCATTTCCCAAAAGCGTTCCATACTCTTCCATATCTAACCAACATCACTAAAAAAAACGTAACCACTTGATCCTCTTCAATCCCTACAAACCCCCCTGAGGATAATACGGATAGTGTTGCCCAATAATAAACTCCTTCTCCTCACTCGGCATCAACGGCCCGTAATCCCTATCCACGCTCATGTTCAGATCCGCATCCAAAATCTGGGTTAATTCCTCTCTTATGTCCAGCAGCGACGGCCGATCATGCGGATCCCAATTCACACATCGGGCACAAAGTTTTACAAGTGCAGGCACGTACCGCAACAACGTCGGATGCGCTTCATAGTCAAACCTATCATTGATGATGTGCCCTTCTATCGGCGGGCAACGCTCCGGTCGCGAGATGTAGTCGGGGAGGAGGCCTAAAAATGCTTTGGGATCGTGGATGGAATCCTCGAAGCCGTTGGTTAGCAGCCAGAAGAGAACGGCGCCGATCTGCCAGACATCGGTTTTTTAACCTATCGGATACGGATTCTTCTCTTGTGTTTTCTCGTACAACTCGGGCGCGTAGCGGTGGTCGAATCGCTCGTTGGACCAGGTGTATTGGTCGGGATTATCAGGTGGAGCGCGGTCCCCATAGTTTAGATCGTCGTCTTCGACTCTCTCGTGCGAGTAGAATGCGAGTCCAAGGTCTGCAAGAACGAATGTTGGGAATTCTGCTTTTGTGGCAGAAGGGGAAATGAAGATGTTGTCGGGTTTGATGTCACGGTGCGTGATTCTTTTCGCTCCTGGAGCCATGAGTTCGTAGTCAACTTGCCCGAAATGCAGAATCTGGCATGCTTTGGCGAGGGAATCGATGATGTCGCAGATCAGTCGCTCGGGTAGTATGGGGGGTAGTTTAACGTCTGGGGCTCTGTAGCAGCGTAGTTTAACGTCCCAATGGTAGCCTTCGGGGTCTTTGCTTTCGAGAGTGGGTGGCGGTGAGAAAAGGTTCATCAACTCCAGATCGGGCATTCTATCACATAGTGCCGAATAGAGATTTCCGCCTTCGTAGTAGGCGAGGTAAATGCGGTATCTGCGCTGGCGCATCATCAGTCGGTACCCGTAGTGTTCAATGATTGTACCATGGCCATAAACATCGTTGGCGCGGTTGTTGTCGACGAGTTGGTGGATTCGGATTTCTCGTGGGATTTGGTCGCGCCAGTTAAGGGGATCTCGCCAATCGCCTTTATTCATTCGTGCTTCTTTGATGACGAATCTCTAGGAGCGTATGTGTTAGCATGTATTCACTATTCCGCGATAAGACACACGATAACTCACTCTTTGAATTACATTTGTTGGATCTACTTGGCACCATAATCCCGCGCAGCCATATGATCCATGTCCCAACCACTTCGCTCCACGCATATCTGTTTCATCTCTTACCGGCCACTGGCAAGGCTTAGTCTAGAAAGATATTTGTGTTTTGCGAGACGAACTTCATTGTCATGTCTCGTGCTTCATCAATTGGATCAGGATGCCAAGGTTCTTGAGGCCAAAAGTCGTAGGGGTAGTTGTTCCGTGGTCGTGGTTGAGGTAGAGGTAATGGAGGTGCAGCTGGCGCAGGAGGGATCGGATTTCCTCGTGCATCACGTCGTAGTGGTAGAGTCTTATGGACTCTTGCATGAGTAGCGTCCTGCACGTTGTAGGGGTTTTCTGGTATTATGTCGCGGCCTGGAGGCAAACCATACAGTTTATCTTTACCTTTGCGTGCCGAATAGTAATCGCGCGTGAGTTGGTCGCCATCCCATATTGTCTCTATCGTGTAATGTAATTGGACTTGAGATCGTTAGTAAAGAGTTGTTCTTATCGTAGAATCACATACTGGGAGTCCAATGTGGTCTATGTGCGTCTTTGAAGGCTCGTGCGGCGTGTTTAAAATATGGCTTGGGTGTCACCCAGGGAGGAACACGCGGATTGTTTTTGTTTTTTCTCGCCATGATCTGCGCGATGAGTCTGCGACGGTCAGATTCACTATTTCTACCCAGAGAGTACCAGTAATCTCCAGAGTTTGCAGATTGTATTTGCCAGCATGTTTTGCAGTGCGAAAACCGAACAAAGGGTGCTGACAGTGGCCTTAAGTCAATACAATGAGATAGTCCGCATCACGTACAAAGTAACAAAAGCACAAAGGTGAGGACACGTTTTCGCTTGGTCCTTGCACATTTTGAATTACTCTCCGTCCCTAAAATACCACTATTTTCAAGATATGCTTTTGTTGGCCCTGGTAGACTGACATATTAAAAAAGCATGGTGTAACCAAAGGCAGAAATTCACCTTCGGAATCACTAGAAGAGTAAATCTCGATCAAAGAGGGAGGGTACCATGTACACCAAATGCCGAATAGATGTCCCCGTGCAAATCTTCCCTCGACTCCATGATATAAGCTTCAAATCATGTTTAAGACCCGAAATCTGCGTCTGGATGGGCTGGGAGTCTGGTAGTGTGATACTGGCAGTCTTCCTGATGAGCTGAATTACCCACCATGCGGATACCTCGCGGACCCGCATATGGTGCGCGGCAAACGTAGCAGAATTCGAACCCGCACTTGCCTGCTGAAGTTTAGCATATATATTTAGTATATTATTCAGAGTTTTTTAGAGTCTTACAAGTCATGTGGTCACATCCCGTCGTTTTCTCAATCTGAGATCCACATCCTGGACATTTCTGCGCTTTCTCTTTAAGCAGTGCAACACTGGCCTCTTCTTGTGCTTGCTCAGCCTCGGTACGTTTATCATACTCTGCACAAGTCTCGTTCTCGTGAAACGGTATCACGGGCGTATGTGCAGTGCACATCCGATATCCACAACCGACACATCGGAATATCGGACCTCGTTCGCCTAATGTAGCAGTGTCGTGTATCTGTCCTGAAGAGCACCCTGGTGCAATACAATATATAAAATCTTCCTGGGTACTAAGGAAGCTGCGCAGGGATAATTCGTTATAATGATTAAATACCTCGGCCGAGGTATACTTTTGTATATCTTGATAGGTAATCAAACCTGTACAGTGGCTTGGACATCGTATCTTCTGGATATCTTGAGTTGCAACCATTTCCTGATCTAGCCATCGAAGAAGGCAATTGTGGCATACGTCTGGTGTATGATTGCAGGAGCTAAGGTGAGGGAAATCTGGGATTGGGATTGATTCTGAGCATACTGAACATTTTCGTACGCCGGGCGCTGAATCGTTGATGATAGTGAAGTCGTTTTTACTAAGCCCGTGAATCGTTTGCTTAGGAAGCTGACTCGGCAGATTGACGTCCTGCTTAACCGAGTTGCAAGAGGTTTCCGACGCTAGGTGTTTCGATGGACTGCTGGGAGCGTTGGGAGTACTGTGAGCTCTGGGAGGAGTAGTCTGATGATGATTCTCTGTCTTACTCGGCTTGCTTGTGCGGGGCTTTTGATTCGGTACATTAGGTGCCGTATCACTCGCTTTTCTCTTATGAGCCCCATCTCGCCGTTGCTGACGGGATACTGAAAGTTTATCACGGCACGTCTTGCAGTGTTTATAGTACCCGTCACCTTTTCTCTTCTTGTCTGGATCAGCCAAGGGACTTTTACATGTTCCGCAACGAAGAGGTAAGTGCGGTGTATTTGGTGTCGACGATGGGACGGCCGAGCTGGCAGGGGCTGGCTTTGGCGGTGCCATATTATTATTGCTGTAGTATCGTTGGTGGTTGGTGGAAAAAGAATGGTAGAGATAGAAGAGCTTGTTGCAGGTGATGGAAGGGAGTCGGGAGTTGGAGACTGGGCACAGGTTTATGTGAGAGAAAGATGGAAAAATCACTGTTCCGTCTTAAGTAGTGAGGGGTGGCTTTCAATCAGACCCCACAGTAGAAGAGAGATGTGTGCGCTAATCAGTTCCATGAGTGAGAGAAGAAATGTCTTCAGGGGATCTCGGAGGCAATTGAGAGTCAAAGCTACTGATCAATGTCAGCAGTGAGTGAGAAGTGTAGTTGCCAATCGATCTCACTACTTGACAACACATAACGCCCCAGTCTAAATATGACCCATGATCTCATTCGATCTAGCTTACAACCCAATGCCCATTGATCGGAGTGAAATTGCTGATATCCTTCTATCCATAACACAAGCAAGATAAACATCTGCCTTCGCCCTACTCACCCAGCCCCACCATCACAATCATAGCACAGTAAATAACTCACAACATCCATTTGCTTCTGACCTTAAAAGACGGCTCATGATATCAATGTTGCATTATCCCATAGCACAATTCCTCCTCTTGTCCACAACTACGAAGCGCTGAATAGCCCAGCATTCATCTCCGAGACATCTCCTTTCCACCAAGAACTCCCAAGCATATAGATCAAAAGAATTTGCTTCGCTTCAAAGAACGCACATATGGAAACACATGTAGAATTTACTCTTACACCTATTCAGCTGAAAGACACCAGCATTACTCAATCTCGAACAAAACCCCATTCAAAATTTTCCAATTTCGTCATGGAAATGACCCTGGTCCTGACCCATATCTATGACTCCACACTCCAAGTGTGTGCCTTCCTTTATCCCAAGAAGTGCCATTGTCCCCAATGTTCCCAACCCCTCTCTCATTTTCCCCACCCGCCCTCAATCTAACCCACAGTTCCGATACCCATCCATCCCCACCTCCTTCATCTTCCATCCCTCCATTCCCCCAGCAACGCTCCTTCCCCTTGGCTAATAATACCAGTTCCCCAGCACCGCCCAGCCACGAGCCACACGGGAACGTGCCGAGCTAACCGGAGCACGCGCTGCGCCGCAGTCTTGGCGGTGCGGCGCAAGCGTCCCCCCACTATTTTTGCACCGCCCCCCCTTCCCCCTCCGTACTTTCATTTGCCGGGAGGGAGTGTGTGCGTTGTGTGTTGTATATAGGGAGGCCTGATTGAGTTGTGACGTATTATATTTTTCATAAGGCCGACATAAGCGGGGTTTGATTCTTCGTGGGCGAAGGGGTTGAGTGTTTCCTTCCAGCATTCTGTACGTGATGCTTTATCTAGTGGTGCTGCTGGGACAAGAAGAATGATACTCAGCCAAGCATTGGCTTGCGCAATTGTCGTATGCGAGTGTAAGCGATAGCGTTTCGCGGTCGACATGGAATTTTCTGCATTCATCTAGGCAGGGCGTGGCGTCAAGGAAGAGGCTGCAGCATTGTGCGGTGCCGATTTCCTTTGTGCATGCATTGCTTCCTGAGGGATGCAGGTTGAGGTTGTCGACGAGGAGGGTGACGATGTCATCGGTTGCGGTGGTGAAGGAGGGGACGAGGTGGTAGAAGAAGAATAGGATGCAAGAGCAGATGAGGAGGGTTGGAACGAACGGTGGGTAAACGGGTGTGTATTTGAGGTTTGGTCCGGTAGCGAGACGCATATCGTTCTGGTCGAGAATGTTGCCTTTGTGTCCTTGCTCTTTTATAGCATGAGCCCCTCTTGTAGACGAGGATGCTGAAATGTGAGAGGGTGAAATGTTATATCGTTTGCCTGCTGTTTGTCTGAAATGGAGTACGTTGTAGTTGCTGTGCTACACCAGTGGAATTGCAACCTCTAGGACGAAGAGGGAGAAGGGATGAAAACAACAAGGTGACGATCGCTGCACGAAGAGGGCCGATATAAATCTGACTGTGGCATTACCGCCATGCGGCCCATAGGCACGATAGGAAACTGCGGCTAGTAAGCAACTAGTTCGTGCCCGTTGGAGCGGTAAGACGGCGGCGCTAATGTACACTCTGTGCTAGAGCTTGGCTTGTTCGCTAAGTGCGACGCAGGAAGTGGCTTCGACGTGATTCACCTTACCCAAACAAGTATGAGATGTCATCTTACCCAAGATGCTTGGCATTTGCACGAAGTTAGTGTGGCCGTACGTGCTGCCACAGGGGGAGATTTGATTCGACTCGAGCAGAAAACACGGACGGCATGTAATCCGGGGTAACGCACTGGCTCAACGCACTGGCTGAAGCGCATTGGCCTCCAAAGTGAATGGTGCTGACGGCTGAGACTAGGCGCTCTTGGAGCTGACCTCACTCACTGCTGAGTAGAGTTCTTGTCACGGCCGTAAAAACGCCCGAAATGCCTGTGGCGCATCCGGTGCATCCACGAAGCTTATGTTTGATGTTTTGTGTCTTGATCTTGGATTAGGTTGACGACATTTCAGGCTCAACCCAAGCGATGGTTGCACCTGCTGCGAGTAAAGACACAAAGTCGCCCATAGAAGCGTCCGAAAGACTCGACCAAGTTCATGCTATATATGTGTGAGACGTTTTAGGCTTGGCCGATGTCCCAAGACACCGGCGGTATAATGATATGATGTAAGATGTAGTGAAAATCGTTCTACGGATTGTACGGATTGCATAAGCAGCACCTCTATCTGACCAGCGAGTCATGGTGCGTACATACATGTTGGGAAACGCGAGACGCTGACCCTGGAATACGCATCGTTCACAGCTCGGATCGAGAACTTAGAGTTTGATAATCTGTCGGGTGCCAAGTAGATACATCTGTAAGGCTAGTCCCAAGAGATCCTGGGCAGGTCAGCGTGGGTTTCAGGTTAGCATTGTTGGAAATGGTGAGACTTACAAAAGCATGATGCCCGCGCCAGCGAACATTGCAGAGAACTGCAATAGGGTCTTCCTTAATTCCTGACCCTTGTTGGGGCCAGTCTCCAACAACTCGGGAATAACAGCAACAGTGCCAACATATAAGAAGGTGCCGGCAGTGAAGGGCAGCAACATATCTCCCCATTGGAGACTGGTGCCCATGAGACCTGGGCCAGCAGAGACAGCAGAGCTAGAGTTTCCGCCAAATTCTTGTACAGCAATGCCAATGCATGTTCCCAGGAAAGCGCCAACAGCAGTTACAAACTGAGCACCCATGGCTGCGCGCTTGCTAAAGCCAGATTGAATCAGGAGCGCAAAATCGCCAACTTCATGGGGAATCTCGTGGAAGAAGACGGCTACAGTGGTTGTGGCGCCGATTGTAGGTGATGCGTAGAAAGAAGAGCTGAGGGCGAGACCGTCGGTAATATTGTGGGTAAAGTCCGCAATGAGATTGAGGTAGCCACCAAGCTTGACACTGGCGTTGATCTCCTTCTCTATCTCTGGTGGTACGTTTGCTTTGGCAGTTTTGTTGTCCGCAGCGACGTTGCGAGCGCGGACTGCGTCTTTTGATCCGTCGACATCGACCCCCGTTGCCTTGGCAGTAGCATCCACCTTATCATGCGAGTGCCCATGCGAATGGTCGTGTCCACCCGCACCTCCAGTCGCAATGCGCAGTCCCTTGTCCATGGCCACGAACGTGATGAAGCCTACCATGATGGCAACGCCTAGCAGCAAGTTTTTGTTGGGCTCCACCATGACGAACTTGACAGAGTTGGGCTCATCTTCACCGAGAAATATCTCTGGCAGCAGGTGGAAGAGCGTGTCACCCAGCAGGCCACCTACGGCGAATGCCACCATGACGGACAGTGACGAGGGGTCGATGTTGGGCGGACATAGAGCAAGGAGGAAGTTGGGGGGACCAGAAATGTAGAGAGTTGCCAGCAGGGAATTGACTGCAGGGCTTCCAGGGAAGAGAAAGGCGAAGATTTGGGCGGTGAGGGAAGAGGTGGTGGGGTTCGAGGCCACCTTGTGCTGGTTGAGAGCTTGCACGAGGGGACATTCCTAATGACGCGTGTCAATGCTGGCTGGGAGATGCAACACGAGGGTGTCGTTGTTTGTTCAAGTTTTGATGAGCTGTACTATAATGGCTCTCGGTACACGGTGAGGGGGTTGGCGCATAGGGTGAGTATCGTACCTGCAACTGCTCCTCAATATCGTGAACTGTCAGGTTCTCTACTGGGGTGCCTGTCTCGCCCTTGACTGCTGCAGCAGCCACGTTCCAAGCGAGCACTCCGAGAAAGATTGCTAGGGACAGAAGGGTCCTGTTGCGACGCGACACCATGACGGCACGTGAATTGATCTCAATGCCGGAATATGGGGTGGTAGAAAGTTGAATTGGTGAGCTAAGGGGTCGCTCAGAGTGTACATGTGGGCGCAACTGCACAGTGGCCTCAGGCGTGTTTCGGGGGTCCGCCTATCGATAAGACTAGCGCCGAGGCCGCAGAAAGTTCGCCAAAACTTTTGGAACATGCGACTCGCGACGTGACCCTCCAACAAACCACCCCCCGCATACCCCCAACCACGTTCCAATCTAGCAGACATGGGTCGCGAGCTCCAGAAGAAAAAGAATAAGTCTTCAATCCCCAAGAAGCGCCAAAAGGGACCGTCCAAGAAGAAGATCCTGCAGAATCCCATCATAGCGAAGCACTGGTACTATGCGCCTTTGCACTCAACATCATTCTGAAATCTAACCACTGCCTCAGGAACCAGAAAGAAACACTATCACAGAATTATCGCCGTCTAGGCCTTACGGCCCGCCTCAACCATGCCACTGGCGGCACAGAAAAGACCATTGCTCTCCTTGGCCTTAACGACGAAAAATCATCGCGCGCCGACACAGCCGCCGGCAGCACTGCCAATGCTCTGAATATTGTCTCCAAAGCGAAGAAACCTGAGAACATCCCAACAGAAGAGATTGAAGTCGAGCGCGATCCCGAGACTGGTGCCATTCTTCGAGTCGTCGGTACGCTCGAGAACAAGAACAACCCACTCAATGACCCGCTAGTCGAAATCGAGGATGGCGAGGAAATGCAGTGGAACGGATTCGCAATGGTACCTGAACACAAAGCGGATGAGCCGGAGAACCCGGTCATCAAGCAGCTGGAGGAGGCAGCCATGAATGGCGCGAGAAAAGCACCCAGAGGCCAGAGCCAGCGAGAACAAGAGTGGGTCGAACGATTGGTCAACAAGTACGGCGACGACTACGCTAAGATGGCGAGAGACCTCAAACTCAATCCCATGCAACAGACAGCAGCAGACATCAAGAAACGGGTTGTCAAATGGCAGAAGTCACAAGCAAAGGCATAAGGGATGCGGTCAAGCTTTTTACTATGCATGGAAGCAGGCGTCGGGGCGTTTTGGGGCATGACTGTACGTAATGCAACAATCAGCATTCAAATTTACATCACAGAGTTCATCAACCTTGTAAAATGATTTTGCCTCTGAGAACAGGCCCTGTATGCTGATCATCCGTATCGTGATTTTAAAGGGAATGACTCGCCTCCCGGAACACCCTGAGCTACTAGTCAGTAAACCCTGAATTCAACCCCGCAACACTATCAATCGATCTCAGACCTCATTACAACGCTACCACCGCCCTCGAGCCTGATGTCACACGTATATGAACAGCAGTAACACCCTCTAAGATGTCGACCTCTACCACAACCAAGTCGGCAATAAGTGTTGCCGACGAAAGGCCCGATGTGCCAAGTCACTGCCCGAATACGAGCCTTGCAAAAGGCCCCCTACACATTACCTATACGAACAGCAAAGCAGAACGCCATTGACACGCAAAAACCTGACTCGGGTTGACTAACGGCTTCGTCGATCACAGCCCAAATCGCTCGGGCCAAGCAGTACATCCAAGCCGCTGAAGCGCGCATGCGGCATTTAGAAGCAGCCCACAGCAGCGATATAGGAGCGCTTGCCCAACACCACGATGCGATCACGGATGCAAAAGACGGTGACTCGCTTATCGGTGTTTCGATCGAGGTTCCGCCTTCTGGCCTGCCCGACTTCACTTGGGATGAGCAATTGTAGGGCAGCGCTCCAGCCAAGACGGATGTTGGCGGCACACATGCTTCTACCTTGTCAGCTGACGGTGAACGGGTAGCTGATGGCATTGAATAGCTGATGGTGGAAGAAAATAGGGCCGGCTACCTGGGACTCGGTTTATATGTTGCAATGTTGAGACTACTGCACTCTGGCGTGCAACCTTCCTCGTGCATAGTGCCTCCTGTATCCAACCTTGATATCACTTTACCAGACAATGGACGCTGGCTGTATAGTACTCCATTCTAAGGCGTTCTTGATATAGGGAAGGTTCACTCGAATGCCTATTTCAGCTTGTACCGCGAATTCATATCTTCTTGTGGAAGAACATGCGTTTAGTGCTCAATGCACTGAAGTTGTTTGCTGGTCCAGCAGTCGCAGCTGACATGTGCCTTTATAGTTGTTGCTATGTACAACCATTTTGGACTTACTCTCTACATGCCTTGAAGGCTATGCCTCCGCATTAAGGTCTATCACTGAGATATTTCACTGCTGGTTTCATTTCGAGTTTTGATATCAACGAAAGGGGAGCGAGCTCAGACATGTTCAGTATATTTCGCTGATACACGATTCTCGTCAGGCTGAAGTATAGTAACGGAACTTCCTCAACAGGCAATTCCGAATGTGAAAGATATGGAGCAAGGTTCAAACCATCTCCATATTCTGC